TATCTTTTTTTTAAAATTGCTTTAGGGGACAAAAAAATCTTTAGGTTTGCTTTGATTCTGAGCTCTCTTAGATTATAACCAAAAGCAAAGGTACTTTACCAAAAGTAAAGTACTAAAATTACTTTTTAAAATGTACTTTGTAGTGTCATAGATTATCTCAAAATTATTTGCCATTCTTATTAGCATAATGGTGGTCGACATTTTGTCTTTGTAAAATCTTGGATATTCCATCTCTAGGTGCTGTTTCTCCCATCCCCATTTTCTTGTTCCTCAGATTTGTTGCTTTTTTTTTTTGAGCAAACATAATTGGCTAATCAACCCTACTATTTCTAGCACTAAACTGTTAAAAGTAAGGAAATTAAGGAATAAACAAGGTATTGTCTTTAAAACAGATGACAGAAATTAAAATCCAAAGAAAACTCTTTACAAAGCAAAGGAGCTTATGTTGTCAGGGTAAAAAAAGGTAAATGTGAAATGAAATGGTAAAAAAATATAATTCTTGATTTTGTCTTGATAACATCCACTTTATTGAATCTTCAGCTAACTTTTGAAAATAATGGTAGGAAAATTATTCTTGATGATAAATAAAAAATTTCATTACTTTTCCACCTTTTGAAAAAGTTCTTCAGATTACCATTTGATCATTTACACTAAATACGTGAAGGGACAAGCACCAAGAAAACATTTGCTTTTTTCCCCAAATAAATGTTTACTACTTTAATATCAAACTTATTTCGATCTCTAAGGGTTCTGTGATTCCATTGGTATGGGTACGCCTAATTTTATTGTTCTTTGTTTTCCCTTCGATATACCAATTGAAGATCTTGAGGTATTGTGTAAAAAAAAAATTCATGGTGTTTAACTCTCTGGTGATTAACCTTTTCATTATACAGTTTCTCTTTTAAATAATTCATTAAAAAACCTGAATTCAGTTTGTGCTTTTTAACTTTTATTTTTGGTTACTGAAAATGTCTTCTAATGAGTAGCATTTATAGTGTTACTGCATTTATTTAGCTGATGGAGCTCTTGTGTTGTTCTTACCCTCAAACTAACTAAAATTCTCAAATGGATCTGTGAATCTCAACCCATCCACGCCTGTTCTGATTTGTAACTCTTGTCCGCATTCTCCCAGAGTTACATGATTGAGAGAGTTCATCCAGTATTCTGGGCGCCTCCCTTCCTCTTGACATTGTGAGGATACCATTGGAGTAGAGAAACTATCCACTGATTTTTTCCCACTTTCACTGACCCATGGGCATGATCAGCCCATCTTTTTTTTTTGCTTCTTAAGAAATGTTAAATGAGATCACAGAGCAGTCACTAGTTTGGGGCAAGAGGGACTTTGTACATGAAATTTGCCTGAGGGTTGAAAAATTTAATGAACTTATACTCTTTTAAATAAGGAAGAAGTAGAACTGTGGTCTTGTGGGACAGGGAGCAACAGACAGGATGGTAAAGATGGGAGTGTGTGTAGCGGGGTAGAGTGGAGGAGTGGGTGACATTGGGATCAGAACGTACACAAAAGGCTGGAGGGCCCCACTCCCTGTTTAGCTGATTGCCATGAGACAAGAGGTTGCTGCCCTGGAATGACTGGTGTTCCCATGCCACACTAATTTTTCTATAATCTGCCTGATCTAACACTAACTCTTCAGTCTTTTTCTTTCTCTGTAAAATAATGGGTTTGGACAAGGTGTTCTATAAAAAAAAGTCCTTTTCAGCTCCAGTAGGCTGTGGGTCTAAGGTTGGGGTATACTTTACTGTAGGTCAGCCTCGATTTCAGTAAAAATTTAATCTTCCTTTATGACCTTGAGCAATCTGTGGGTCAATCAACAAATGTTTAAAGTATTACCTGGGACATACAATGGCTAAGTCATTTAACCTCATGTACCACAGACAACTTTTTAAGACTGTGAGTAGAAAAGAAGGTGCTGACTTGCCTTGGTAGAGACAATTTCCTCACCAGGAGTTCCTTATAACAATGTAATGAGGGATTTAACTTCTATTTCTTATCAGTATATAGGATAGGGGATAGGAACTGGATCTGTGATTTCATTGCTTTAGAGAAATTAATTACCAGATGAGGAAATCTCTTAGTGTAGACTGGTGTCTTCTCCATGATTTAGTCTTTGAGTGTTATCTATGGGCTGAGAGGTTGACTTTCCCAGGGTAGCACAGGCAGGATATATCAGAAGGTGGACTTGAACCCTGGTCTTCCAAGGCCAGTTCCCTAACCAGTATGCCACTTTGCTCTAAGAACTATGTGCAGAAAAAATATGCAGAGAACACATACAGACATGTAACTAGGGAGGGGGAGGGTTCTTAGTAACTGAGAGGAGGGTCAGGAAAGTATTGATCTGTGTGCTTAATGGAAGAGAGAGATTCTTTCAGACAGAGTGGAGAAGAGGGTGGATTCCAGACATGGTTATGGACATTGTAAAAGCATGAATGTGGGAAACGGAGTGCTATGTGTAAGGAGCAGAGAGAAAGCCAGTTTGTAAAATAATATGAACTAGCATTTATATACCACTTTTAAAGTTTGTAAAATGCATATATTAGAGCTAATAATAATAATAATAGCTAACATTTATTTGTTAGACACTGTGCCAAGTGCTTTATAATTATCATCTCATTTGATCCTCACAGCAACTCTGGGAAGTAGGTGTTATTATGATCCCCATTTTACAGATGAGGAAACAAAGGCAAACAGATTGAATGACTTGCTTAGGGTCAGACAACTTGTAAGTGTATGAGGAAGGATTTGAATTCAGGTCTTCCTGAATGCTGGATTGCAAAGGGTTGAGGAGTACCAGTGAGAAGGAGGGAAGTTGAAGCAGCACATGTAGACGGCTTTTTCTAGGAGGCTGGCTGACAGAGAGCAGAGATAGAAGATGATAGAATGAGGGGATAGTAGGGTCTAAGCAAGGCTGTTTTGGGGGTACGTGTGTTTTAAAGGATGGGGAAACTTGGAGTGTGATTGAAGGTAGTAAGGGCAAGGAACCAAAAGATAGGGGGATGTTAAGGGTTATAGAAAGAAGGGATGATTAAGATATCTCTTAATCCAAGGGAAAAGCCAGGAAGGGATATAATTAGTGGCACAGGTAAAGGGGTTTAGCCATGTCAAGGAATAGGGCCTCCTTGTTAACAGACAGAGGAAAGGAAGAGAGAGTAGAGGTTGCTGTCAAAGAATTTTTAAATTGTGAGAAGGAAAAAAAGGTCTCAATTTTTTCAGCAAATTAAGAAGCAAGATCCTCAGTTGGGAGTGTAGGGCCTCAGTTTCCTTTTTTGTAAAATGAAAAGATTTAGTTAGATGATGCTTAAGTTTCTTTCTGGCTCTAGCATGATATTTTTAGGGTTTTTTATGGGAGGTGGGGTGGCTTCAAGATTTTTTCAGCCTACTTCCCTAAAGCACAAATTTGTTATAAGGATTACTGTTCCACTTCCACACCCCAAAAAGTAAGCTTCTTATGTGCTGTGTGTGAAGAGAAAGCTGACTGTATTACTTATTTATGGCAGATAATTAGTTAAAAGACAATGTCACTAAGTTACCTGCTTCCTTTCTACCCTACATTGGGGTGCACAGTCTTGTGATATCTCAGGGTCTCTGCCTCCCACAACTGTTCTCTTAAATTTAGGGAGCTTTTTTTGTGCCACTAGCCCCTAGTACATTGATGGTATTTGTCTCATGTACAGAAATACCTAGTTAAGGCTCTGTCGTTGAATGTGATACTTTCCCCTTCCTGTCCTTCTCCCCTTCCTCAAAAGAAATTGAATGAAGAACACTCTTTTTCATTTATTTGTTAACTGCTAGATAACATTTCAGATTTGTCCTTTGTGACTTTCTAACATCCACATTTCTGTTTACCGCGTCAGAGAAGATGAAACTGTGTGGTAGGATATGAATCCTTTTCCCTGATAGTTCATCAACATTGAATCCTTAAACAATTGGAAGCTTAGTTCTTAGAATCTTCTTTAGAATTGGACAGTTGGGGAATAGTTTTTGCCTAGCATCAAGGGATGACCAATTCTTTTGGTTTTAATTCAGCCTTTTCTTGGGTGTCAACAGCTGACTTACCCTCCCATGTTTTCTATCCTCAACTTCTCAGATGAGATCCTCCCCAAAATAAAGCTGGTTTATGAGGGCAAAGCGAAGAAGTTATATATCACTTATCCTAAATTTACATGTTATTAGGATCAATAGGGAACATGAATTTTTCTAGGTAAAAGCTCTCTAACATTACTTTTTCACTTTCAAATGCATTAATTTCAGAAATTACATGTTTTCAGTACCTATCTTTCTGTAAATAATTTTCATTTTAAGAAACTTAATTCTCCATCCTACTGTAAACTCCCTTTACTCTTGCTAGTCACTTCACTTCTGGTGTACTTACATCTGTACTTGAATTAAATATTTAATTTTTCTTGCTAAAGTACTAATGTACCTGGTAAACGGTGCATTTATTCATATCACTCTGATCTTAGGGTTAACTATCTCATAGAGCTTAAAGGCTTAGGACTCTTATTAGTATAGTTCTCTTTTCCATATTCCTTCTTGTAACAGACATTTGAGTGTTACACTGTGAGGTATCCAAACAAAATAGAAAAAGTGATCTCTGTTTTTAGTCTCATAGTCCTTAGAGCTGTATCATATAATGATTAATGACTACTTTTTGATGGTGGTATAGTATATTGTTAGGAAGAATTAGACATAATACATACATGCTGGTTTACATAAAATACAGTGCAATGTGAATTTCAAAGATTGGTGTCTTAGACCTTAACAAAAGATAATCAAATTTTACACAAGAATATTTTGAGCAGTAGTGATGCTCATTGGAGCTATTTAGGATTCTGTTTAATATAGATTCAAATGCTTTCCCCCATTGTTTCCCCTTTCCTACTTAAAAACTTTTCCAAGAAATCAGAACTGTGGGTATATTATGGTTATTAGAATGAAGAGATTGCAAATCCTAAATAACATAATTTTTTATTAATTTCTACAGCTAAAATCTCATCCAAGTGAGCATGAAGAAAAGGAAGCCCAGTCTCAACTGCTGAAAGCTGATGAAATGCAGCGCTTACGTTCACAGGCGCGTTCAGCTTTTGATCGGGAAGATTATCAAGCAGCTATATCTTTCCTTGATAGTATTTTAGAGGTAAGTTTGTTACATATTGAACCCACTGCAGACAGCTTTTTCCTTCAGTGAGGGTTCTTAGTAATTTACATTGGTATTTGGCTATGTCTGTTGAAACCTCCTGTTTCAATCCAAAGTCAAAGATAACACCTGTGAGGATAACATCCAGCTAGAATAGTTTTCTAAATTCTGTCAGTGGAATGTGAAAGTTCTTTTATTTCTTTTTATGAGTATGCTTATTTTTGTTAATGTTTTGATTTGGGGGAAGCAAATTGAAAAAGAGGCCAGGGAGAAAGGAATTGGGAGAAGAAGGAAGAAGGGAGGGAAGGGAGAACAAATAACTGGAATTAAAGGAGGAATGAAGGTTGGGAAGATAGAATAACAGTGCAAATGAGGAATTCATAAGATACACATTTATGTAAATTTATAATTTTAAGAGCTGGTGGGAGTTGAAAGAAAACTATTTGAGAACCAGTTTTAGGTAATTTGTATTTGGTTCTGGTCTTCCTGCTTCTGTTCCCTTGTTGATTTACTACCTGGTTCCCAAGGAATGCTTTTCAGGGGGAAGCTCTGAAATATTGAGAGGTGAAGTGGAGGTTCTGTTTGTTTTTTTAATTTTCTAAGTCAGGCTGAGTGTTCATATACATTTTGTCTTTACATGGGCAGTATTTATAATGTTAACTTCATATATGTATAAAATTTCCTCAGAAAATTTGCTTCATGAAATGCAGATTGACACAGAAATGAAATTTTGGTTCTGACTATATTTGACATGGCCTTAGTTTTACATTGTAAAAATAGCATAGGTTTTGGTATGCAGAATATTTCTTCAGTGAGAATTTCTGCAACTTACTGAAATAAGGAGGAAAAATCGACCACCCCAATGAATGCAGTAACTTCCTTAAGGAAATTAAAAGTTAAAATTAAGTTCCTTCCTGACAGGAATTAAATTATAGTTCCCATAGCCATTTTAACTTCACTGTATGCTGCTGGTATAATATCTTGTATTTTCATTTGGTCTTGATATTTGTTGTTTAATGTTTATTAAACGTACAGCTAATGTGATTGCTATGGGAAACTTCTGTCTGAAATCTATAAAATCTGTCCCATGGAGCTTCATTAATATCTTTACCCCCTCTTCAATAATTTATCTGTTGAAAAATGTGGCCTTTTTCCAGAGATCCTGACCTTCATTCTACGTGCTTATCATTATTTTCCATTTTAGTAGTATATAACAAAATATTAGGAGCTATGACAAGCAACTCCAGTCTGATTTGATCCTTCTCTTTAAAGGCTTAGTCGTGACCTTGGGATTTCACCAAGGTGATGAATAATTGTGTTTTTTTAATATCCAATGCACTCTTCAAAGAAATAAAGAGGCTCATAAAGTTTCGATTGAATTAGAGCTTTGTGGTTTTCATATTTTATTAGGACTTATATTGGAATTGAAGTTTTAATATAAACATTTTTTGGACCAATCCTTGAGTTTTCATTGGTAAAGGAAACTTCCTCTAACAATTCAAATTGGTATCTGCTTTTCAATTTATAATGTTACAGAATTGTCTAGGGGCACTAAAAAGTTAAGTGACTTCCCCAAGATCATGAAACCAATGTGTGTCAGAGACCAGACTTGACTCCAGGCTTTGCTGACTCCCAAAACTGTAATATGTCACACTACCTCACCCAATATAAAATTAGGTTTTAAAAATAATTTACCCTAACGGTTTTCAGTTCAACAAACATGTATTAAACTACTATTATGTACTATACTTTTCTTGTTAGGAACCAGTTATTTAATATAGCATAAGATACATTTTTTCCTCGACAGTTTCAAATGTATTTCATATTAGGGAAGTAATAAAGGGGCATTTGGGTTTATTCCTTGAGCAACTGAACATCTCTTCCTCCTGCAACAATCCTTGATCTACAAAAAAGAATTTTTAAATGATTGACTGTATTTCTCACTTATAATTTAAGATACTTAAGAATTATTTTGGGCAACTAGGGTGGAGTAATGGATATAGAGTGTTGGGCCAGGAGTCAGGAAGACACATCTTCCTGTGCTCAAAACTGGCCTCAGAGATTTATTAGCCTCGTAACCCTGGGTAAGTCATTTAACCCTGTTTGCCTCAATTTCTTCTTCTGTAAAATGAGCTGGAGAAGGAAATGGCAAGCCACTTCAGGATATATGCCAAGAAAACCCCAGATGGGATCATGAAGAGTTGGACGTGACTGAAAAACAACTGAAATAATAATAAAGAATTATTTTAATAGAAGATATAAAAATATGTAGAAAGATGAGTTTTTTGAGGAGGGGACAAAAATGTTTTAGAAAATAAGTACTTTAATTTGATGAGAAAAACAGGTCACAAATGAAAATACTTATTTATAAGTGATATGATTGAAAGATATGTGGGATGTAGACATGAATGTTTTAATTTAACTTTGCTGTGTTTCTCGCTCAAAGTCTAGTTCTTCTGTTTCTTAAGGTTTGTGTTTGGGATGCAGAGCTTCGAGAACTTCGGGCTGAATGCTTTATAAAGGAAGGGGAGCCAGGGAAAGCTATTAGTGACTTAAAATCTGCTTCCAAATTGAAGAATGACAATACTGAGGCCTTTTATAAAATCAGCACAATATACTATCATCTGGGAGATCATGAACTGTCACTCAGGTTAGTTTTCTTACTGTTTGAACTGGCGTATCAGCAGCATTTACACTGTAAAACTCAATTGCTTGATGTAAGTTATTGTCTTTATTCGAGTTAAGGTTCAGACCACTTAATAATTTCATAGTATTATATTACGTAATTTTTGTCTAAGTTAAATATGCCTGTTAAATTGTTGTGTACAGAGATATTCAGTCATTTTAGTGAGTAATTGTTGCATGTGCAAAAAAAATAGCTGAGAGACAGCATTCTGTATTGGAAAGAAGCTAACCTAGGAGTCATAAGTCCCATATCCCAGCTATGCCACTGACTAGCAGTGTGACAGTAGGCAAATCTTCCCCCCCCATGCCTGTTTCCTCATCTATAAAATGAGCAGATGGGACTACATCAGACCTTTTACAGCTCTAGAATTCCCTAATTTGCTTTTGTGATCACTTTATGGTCAAAGTCCTCTTACTTTGATTTCTGAAAAGAGTATGGAAGAACTGTCAATTCATTTTGAGGTATCTAAATATGTTGTATTCCTTTTATTTTTAATATGTGAACAGTGAAGTCCGGGAATGTTTAAAACTTGACCAAGATCATAAAAGATGCTTTGCACACTATAAACAAGTAAAGAAGCTTAATAAACTTATTGAGTCAGCAGAGGAGCTTATCAGAGAAGGCAGGTAAGAATGAAGTTATTTTTTCTAGACTGTCTAGGTAGGACACTGTTAAGCCATTGTTAAAATAATATGCAACATCCAGTTGAGGGTGTGTAGATAATAATTATTATGTTAGGATATTATTTCTTGGCCTGTGCAAACAGTATATCCCAAAGATGATATTTGGAACTTGATGAATCTTCTTACAATTTTCAAGAAAATTTCATTATTGAGGTAGCTGATACATATTAACAACAAAATAAAACTTGAGTAATTATATTAAGAGTGTGTGGTTTCCATAAAAAAATTATGTGGAGTTATTTTGCCAGTAAATTTAAGCATCAGTGTTGTTTGTTAACTTTCTATCCTGATGTGTCAGCTTTTAAATGTAAAAATCAAAGGACATGTGAAGTAAGATGCCAAGATGGCGTATAAGTAAACTTTCATTAGTTTGGCATTTCTGATAAAAAGAGTATTAGATGTTTGATTTCCTTGAAGTGATATATCCAGAAGCAATTTATTAGCTTATGACTCACAAAATAGCTCTACGTTTGTGAAAGCTAACCAGTCTTGGGATTTAAGTTCACTTGTGAGATGCATCTGCATTGTTCTTAACTGTGAAAAGTGTCAGCATCCAGATATTAAATGACATATGATATTTGCTTTTTGTGTGTTCCAAAAGCTGATCTGAAGTTCGCAGTGAATTTTTATGAATCACTAAACTCTAGACCCATTTTATTTTATTTTATTTTTGCTTTTTGATGGGCAATTGGGGTTAAGTGACTTGCCCAGGATCACACAGCTAGTAAGTGTTATGTGTCTGAGGTCAGATTTGAACTCAGGTTCTCTTGACTCTAAGGCCGGAGCTCTATTCACTGCGCCACCTAGTTGCCCCTGTCTAGACCCAGGTGACGCAGTGGATAGAGTGCTGAGCTGAGAGTTCAAGACCTGATTTCAAATGAGACCCCAAACACTTAACTGTGTAATTCTGGGCAAGTCACTTATCCTCTATTTGCTTCTGTTTCCTCAGCTGTAAAATGAGGATAATAACAGTACCTACTAATTTTAATCTTTTGAGGTTAAAATTAGTATAATATTAGTATTAGCCCCACTTAGCCCACGTGCCTGGCACATAGTAGGTGCTATATAAATGCTTATTCCTTACCATTCCCTTGCATTTTCTTAACATATGTTGATCTGATTAGAAAGTTTGCAATAGTTAAAAAATGTAGTTCTGGTAATAAACTGGTGAAACTTGCTGGAAGTCATCAAGTGCAAGTCAGATTTTAAAAGCTGTGTTAAATCCTATTGTTACAATTCTATTAAGGTGTTTCTGTGAAGTAGTGATTTTTTTTTTGTAGGTTGTTTGGCAAGCAAAGGTACACTTTACACTTACATCCGAATTCATTTTAGTCAGTAGTGGTATGTTCATTCTTCATGGCTTTAGAGAAGCTTCTGAACTCTAATTATTTCAAATAAAAAAAGATAAAAATAAAGACAAAGTGAAAGTTTGGCTTTTGGAGAAGTATGTTAATTTGGTCAGGTGGCTGTTTTGTTAACAGTGGCCAGTGCTGATAATTGTTCAGAAAACAGTATTACAGAATACTTATTATCTATTTACTTTGTAACAGATATGTAGATGCAGCTAGCAAATATGAATCTGTAATGAAAACAGAGCCAAATACACCTATTTATACTATTCGTTCCAAAGAAAGGATTTGCCATTGCTTCTCCAAGGTAACAATTTATTTTGTCTTAAAACTTAGGTTTCTGTCCAGCTAGTGAAACAACAACCATACTTCCTTTTTTGTTATTTGTTTTTAGGATGAAAAACCTGTTGAAGCTATTAAAGCATGTTCAGAAGTTTTACAACTGGAACCTGCCAATGTGAATGCTCTCAAAGACAGAGCAGAAGCCTATTTAATCGAAGAAATGTATGATGAAGGTAAACCTTTTGGAGCATTGTTTCAGGGGGCTAATATTCATGATATATCAAATAAGTACATATGAAATTTCTGTTATGTCACTTTGCTTAAAACTAGGTTTTCCTACAGCTCTTAGGAATCTTTATAAATTTAAATATTACAAGTAGTGAAATAATTATTCTACTTTACTGGAACACAGATATCCTACTTTATTATGAATGAGGTCTGCAGTTGAATCTCACTAAGAACAATTTAAGTATGAAGTAGTAGAAAAATATTTCACTTGACCTTATGGAAGAGTTTTAATTTGAAATCAGTCTGAAAATGCAACTGAGATAGTTTTTAAAGGGAGAGTATGGCCAGATTTAATTTCATTTTTAATTTTTTAAAAATGACCAAGGTATAAATAGATATGGAGGCAAAGATAGGTGGTACAGTAGATAGCACTGAGCCTGGAGAAAGACACACTCATCTTCCTGAATTCAAATCCGTTCCCAAGACATTTACTAGCTGTGTGACCCTGGTCGAGTTACTTAACCTCTGTTTGCCTTAATCCACTGGAGAAGAAAATGGCAAACCACTCCAGTGTCTTTGCCAAGAAAGCCCCATAGATGGTATTGGTGTACTCTGGTCCATGGAGTCATGAAGAGTCAGACATAACTGAATAACATAAATAGACATAAAGGAGATCAAATGTGAATTTTATACTTGTGGTAAATATTATTTATTAGGCAATAATTTGACAGTTTTCTTTATTAGTAAATTACTATTTTAGCAGTTTGATAACTATAACAGCATGAACTTGAATAAGTCACATAAACTTCTGAGGCCTCATTTTCCTCATCAATAAAATAAAAGGGTTGGCCTTGAGAGTTCTTAAGCTGTCTTCTAGTTCGAGATCTTCAATCACAGGATCATAGGTGTAGAGGCTGAGGAACCCTTAGAGTCTACCTGACTGGTCTGATCACCCCATTTTATAGAGGAGAAAACAGGGCCTGTTTTACTATGTATAGGAAAATTTTCATAGGGTGAATAGTCATCAAAGAAGTTGAAATTTACAAAAATACCCCATGATATATGTCCTAGACACAAAAGCGTGCTATTGGACTTATTTATTTTGGCTTTAAAGTGTGGCATCTACTTATGCTGTTGGTTTTAAGATGTCATTTTGAGTTCTTGTAGTTCTTGGAACTCTGCTTAGGAGAAGTTGCAGAAGGACATAAAAAAAGTCTAAATCTTTCAGTCTATGTATAAAACTGCCTCTTGCATTTTAGTGAAACTTTTATAGTTTTATTCCTGTATAATTTATAGAATGACTTCAGTATTAATTTAGGATGGTAGAATTATGAAATTTGAAGAATTTCTTTTAAATAAGTTTGTTTATTAGTAATGATCCACATTTTGGTTCAGATTATACTTTTGTGAAGCTGTTTGAAATGAGGTTACAAAATGCAAATTGATTTGAGTCAAATTGTGAATTTAGTAACCCTACAGAGAATGTGTTATAAGGATAGACTGAGTTTTGTTTCAGAATATTCATTTTGACCCCCTAAAGACATGTAATTGAAACTTCGAAATTCTGCCTGTCTTATTTGGATGTAAATTAGGAGGATTAATGAGTGGTTTAAAGGATGTTTTTGTTCCATACTGTAATTTCTTTAGCATAGGGAACCTTCTGATGAGAAAGCTCTCTCACTGAATGCAGACCAGCAACTGTTCTGTGCCCTAGTCTTGGGATTCTAAGAGGTTGGGATTTTCCTGATTCTTTATCTCTTAACAGGTTACCTCTTGGTTTAAATCACAAGATAAATGTTAAAGCAGTAGTTGTGGCATAGTGGGAAGAGTCCTAGAAGGGGAATCAGATGACCTGAGTGAAAGTTTGCCATCTGTTGCCTTATTCCTCATTTGGAAAATTAGGATAGTGGTATTTGCAATATCCAGCTTACGGGTTATTATAGGAAAACTATAAACTTGAACGCTGTGAAGATAGAATCATAGGATTTAGAGTTGCGTGGAAATTTAGAGATTGTTTAATCCAGTTAATTTCTTCATTTTACATATGAAGAAGCTGAGGCCCAGAGGGTTATATGTCTTGCTCCGCACCCCACAAGGAGTAAGACATGGAGTCAGGATTTAAATCTAGGCCCACTAGACACCCTTTTTCTCCTTTTGGCAACATTGTTGGTTGGTACTGACAACCAGCCTTGACATGTGCAGTGCAAAGTGCACATGCATTGTGTTCAGAACCAAGGCTGCAGTGAAGTTGTGTGATGCAGCATGGGCAGGTGCTGCCAGAAACACTTTGGATTCATTATGTGTTTGATTTTTGGTTGTTGCGTGTTTAGAAACCTTTGTTGTCAAATTTTTTTGCAACCCACAGTTTAAGAACTATTGTCTACAGGATGCCTTTCCCAAACATCTTAATTTTAGTGCCTCCCTCTGTTATTTCCTGTTTATCCTGTATATGGCTTGTTTGTACACATTTGTTTACATGTTGTCTCCCCCATTAGTTTGGGCTTGAGTGAACTTCCTTCAGTTGTATCTGTAAACTAAGGTTAAAAATGCCTAGCTTATAAACTGAGAGGACCAAATGAAGTAACTTTGTGTGTGAAAGTATTCTGTAAAATATGAAATATGGTATACAAATGAAGGTTCCCTCAATTTGGGTTTCAGTATGAAAATCTTTTAATGGAACTATTTCAAACTAATGTGAATGATGAAGTATTTACATTTTTAACAGTGGATTATTATACAAAGAAATGAATTCTGATTTGTAATTTTCAAATATTATGACCTAGTAAGATTTAAGAAAAAAAAAAAAGAAACTGGAAGAAAATTTTTGGGATAAAAGCGAGGCCTGCCTGGAACTCTGTCCCTAGAACCAGATACTTTGAGTTGCTTCTGTTTTTCACTTCTTCCCCAAAGTTGGGCTATATTTTGCCTCCCTCAAAAGATGGGCCTTAGTGGTGACAGTGGGGCAATAGAACACATTGCATGTATAGTATTTATAAGCATTGCTGAAATCATGTCTTTGTATTTTAAATCTTGAAAGGTCTTCATCCAGAGGAGCTTTAGCATGAACAACTGACTGGCAGGTCCTGGAGGCATTAGATTTCTTATTCTTGGTTCTAGTATTGGGCATTGCAGGGAGAGCTTTAACTAAACTGTGTGCAATCTGTGTTCTCCATGTGTTGGAAGGGACCTTGGAAACTTTCTAGTCTAACTTCTTTTGAAGCCCTGTCACCCTCACCTTGCCTTCTCTCCATCCCCACTGAAAATGATCTTTTGTACCACTTTGTCGGTGCTTCTGCTCTTCATCTCATATACTTTTGTTCCTCTTCTAGAGTATAAAAGACAAAGTGATGTAAGCAAAAAACTATGGGATGGGGAAGCCAAGGAACCTGCGTCCAAATCCCCCTTCCAGTACTTACTAGATGCGTGACTGTGGGCCGATCCCTACATCCCTCCCTTCCTTGCAGGATAATTGGATGAAAAAATGAAATGTATTTTAGCTTTTCAAATCTTTTAAACCCTGAATGATGATAAGGAGTTTGAAGATACCTAAAGAGGCCAGCTAGTTCAGTGCCTCCTCATTCTATAGAGAGGAAGACTGAAGCTGAGGAAGGCCAAAGTAGCTTGCCAAGAGTGACACAGGAAGCATCAGAGGAGGGATTGGAGCCCTGGTCTTCTGACTCCAGCTCTTTTTTCATAGGTTGTCTCACTTAATAAGTTCCTTAAGGGCAGAAACTTCATCTTTATATCTGTAGCAGCCCCTACAATGATTTGCACAGGTAGGCACTTAGAATAGTACATGTTTATTGAATTGAATTTGTAGTCATTTGTTCATGTTTGAATACAGAAATTCCTTGGTTACTCGCAAACTAAATAGGCTTTCCTAATCACCCATAATACTAATGTCTTCCAAGATTACCTCCAGTTTATCCTGTGCTTGTTCATAATTTTTCTCCCTCCACTCCCAATTAGATTGTGAGTTCCTTGGGGGGGGCTCCTGGGCCTGGCCCCTGTCAGTACTTAATGAGTGCTTGTTGCCTTGACTTTTCTTCTGTGCTGCCTTTCCCACAGCCCCTCCAGGGTTGACTTTTTTCATTTGTTTTCATCTTTGCCAATTTAGGTTTCACCCAACCCCAGCTCCATTATACTTTTATACTCAGAGTTTGTGAAAAAGTGGTATTAAATCTTTAAAGAAATGTTGTTGAATATTTAAAAGAAAAATACTATTGTTATTCCTTTATTCTATTGTCATCTCATTTTAGTTGCTTAATAGAATTTTTACTTTTGGCCACATATTTAAAGAAAAGTACTGATGAAAATAATGGTTCCAGTAGGAACTCACCAGTTGGAGGAGGGGGTCTGGAAGGATCTTCCAGGATGAGGAGGTAGTAAGGGTAAAGGCATTTTTCAAGGTGAGAAGGCTGTTAGGGCTTTGTGGAGAAGTTTGGACAGTCCTGAAGGAAGCCAGGTGAAGAGGGGAAGGCAATGATCTGGGTTCAAATCTGCTTCTGACACATATCAGCTGTGTGACCTTGGGTAAAATATTTAACTTCTCAGAGCACCTGGGAACTCTTTTAAGACTTGAATCTGCAGAGTAGTTGCTGATTTAGGCTGGTTGAGGGAAGTTTTCCTTACTGGGAGGGAGCTTCTGGACTGGGAGGTCCAGACAAAAAAATATGCTAGTGTTTCACGCAGTAGATTGAATAAAAGAATACACATTTGGGGCAGCTAGGTGGTGCAGTAGATAGAGCACCAGCCCTGGAGTCAGGAGGACCTGAGTTCAAGTGCGGCCTCAGATACTTGACACTTACTAGCTATGTGACCCTGGGCAAGTCACTTAACCCCATTGCCTAGCAAAAAAACAAAAACAAAAGAATACACGTTTGTTTATAGATGCAGCAGCATGTGTTATAGACATAATTGTATAGCAAGCATTTTGTAGTATTTTTTAAGTAACTAGAAAAAATATTGTTAATATAGGATGCTTTCTTTAAGTGTTAAATTATAATAGGCCTGATGACTATCAGAGAATCTGAACAGAAGAATAGGGATTTTTATTTGTTAGGTTTTTGAGTCATCAGGGCATCTGAGGCAGTCTCAACGTCTATTTTTTAATACCTTACTTTTAAATAGAATTTCATTCCATCATACAGTGCCTGTTTAATAAACTTATCTAGTGTCTCCTGCTGGTTTTCAGAGAAAGAGCAAAAAAAGATAGATGTAACACCTATTGAGAACAATCTAATGCAAATACTTTGTCTTAAGATAATCTAGAAATCTTAGCTCTATAATGAGACTACAGATTATAATGCAGAAAAGGAACAAAATTGCTCCTTATTTGTAAAATGCAAAGCATGTCTCTTAAAGAATATCAATTTTAGTTTAAGCATTTTGTTACTATGACAATATTTAGTTTTCCTTCTTAGAAATGCACTGTTTTGCCAAATATTTGATTTTTACATTGCAAAAATTCAATTCAGCAAATAATTACCAAGAATCTAATATGAATAAGGTATTGTTCTAGGTACTAGAGGTTATAGAGAGGAAATAGTGCCTGCTGTCAAGAAACTTAGACAATCTGTTGTGTACAGTAAGACAGATAAATAAATACAAGGTCATTTGAAGAGAGATACTATCAGCTGGCCTCAGCTGCCCAAAGCAGCCAAACAAACATCACTGTTTAGAATTTTAGATTTATGGGAAAAGTCTTAAAATGTACAAAGGAAGATATGTAAAATATCCCTGTGTGAATAAAATATGAGCACAGTTTTAATTAAAACAGAAAATTCACTTATAATTTGTATATCCTTTCTAATATTACTTTTTGCCTCATTAGCACAAGTGTAATTTTAGGCCTTCATTCTTTTGTATGTAAACGTTTTCTTGTAAAAACATTTGCATTTGAAACTCTTATTAGTAATGTGTAATTATGCCAATTACATAATTCTGAAGACTTTTAGAGGTAGGTGCAATCTGAATAATTTTCAAGTTTTTTAGATATAGGATTTAAGTAACACATATACTAAAACTAAACATAAAACTCCTTCAGAATTTCACATTGTTAAATTGTGAGATTTGGTCACCAGATGTAATCCTTTTAATGTCACTGACATACACCTTGTTTTAGTAGTTTAACTATGGTTGGGATTAAACTAACTTTACCATATGGTCATATTAATTAACCCTTCATAAATGTCAAATATCCTTAGGAGTAAATGAGAGAGCTGGTCTTAGAGGCAGGAAGACCAAGGTTCAAGTCCTACCACTGACACATTGGGTGCATTACATCAACCCTGGCCAAATTGTTTCATCTCTCATTGCTCCAAAATGACTTTCTAAGACTAGAAATTGTGGAACATTTGCTGATCTGCAATGGTGAAAGAATTTCTTTAGTGGAAAGTTTCTTCTACTAGGAATTCCCTATACCAATGAAATGTCAAGGCTAGACCAATAATGAGTCAAGTAACTGTAACTTCCCTCCCACTGCCTCACCACTATGAAAAAGATGACATTGACTCATCATTAAAATGGATGTTGAATTGTTCCTTTTTTTTAATTATGTTTGGTTTGAATTAGTCTACTTGTTGCATCATTCATATTTAACAATTTTTTTTTGAAAGCTTATTGTGTAAAGTCCTCTGGCTTTTACAGCCTATTTACAATGTGACTCCAACCTGTCTTTCCAACTTTGCTCTATGTTTTTACTCTTCCCTACTCTATAATCCAGCTACCCTGGCCTTTTTGCTCTTCTTTACACTTGTCACTTCAACTCCCATTCTGTGCAATGCCACAGAATTGGGTTAGTTCAGTGGCACCAACTGTCACTCATGATTGGAATGCACTCCCTCCTGTACCTTTACCTCTATGAACTCCTTGTTTCTTTCAGAATTCAGCTGAGACACCATCTTCTGCTTGGAGCCATTCTTCCTACCTCTTACCCCATCCTGTCCCATTTCCCTGAACTTATTTTTCATTTAGTGGCAAATGGCCTTTCTTGATCCCCTGTAATATTTGTGCTTTGTTTCAAAGATTACCTCCAGTTTTCCCCATATATCCCCATATACTGGTTCTCCCATTAGATCCTGAACTCCTTGAGGGCAGGGACTATTTTTGCCTTTCTTGTATATCTAGGGCTTCCATCATGCCTGGCACACAGGAAGCCTTAACAGATGTTTGTTGCTTATTTTGTATATCTCTCCCTCTTTCCAACTCTAGCTCTGAGAACTATAATCAAATTAACCCCACCATTTTGACATTCCTTCCCTGACCACTACTCCTTCCTATTTGTTGTCATACTCACTAGAATGTAAGTTTTTTGAGGGCAGGGGCTGTCTTCCTTTTGAAGTATCTGGTTTAGTAAGTGCTTAATATTGCCTTTTCTTTCATTCATACTTGATGAATTTGCCTTTTTTGATAAAATGTAAGCTTAAAGGTAGGGACTGTTCAATTAATGGTTGATTGATATGCTAGTTACTTAGTTTAAGTCATCTTGTCATTCAATCCATCTTGCATTGGTTGGAGTCAGTTCACAGACATTGAATAGAATAACTTCGGGCCTCATTTATATGGTATACCACCTGTCTGGAAAAATCGACAGTTGTGTAAGGCACTGTTCCAACTACTAGAGGTTGTAAAGAGGAAATAGTTCCTGCCCTCAAGAAACTTAGAATCTACTACATACAGTGAATGCACAGATAAATAAATACAAGGTAATTTAAGGAGGGAGAACTAACAGCTGGCCTCAGCTGCCCGAAGCAGCCAGTCTTCCAGTGAGGATACTCAGCATTTATAAAGCTTAATATGACCATATGGCAAAGCTAGTTTAATCCCAACCATAGTTTAATTACTAAAACAAAGTGCCCATTAGCAACCTCTGTGTAATTGTACAATTTAGTTTGGGCTCCTTTACTCTGTTTGAAAGTTCCTACATGTGTATTAGTCCTTTTGAAGACACCTATTAAAGTTGTTTTCCAAACCCTTCAAGGTTAGTTGTTGCTAAGATAAATACGGTTTTCAGAGTGATAGAAATTTGATCATGCTTCATCACTACACTTGAGCCTGACTTTGGTGGCTCTTCACTTTATACTCCTCCTCCTTTCAAACTGATCCTCATGGATTCTACCTTGCACATGATCAAGAGATCTGTCATTTTTACCTTTCCCAACAAATTCTTTATAAACACTTAACTCCCATGTGATAAACTGTAAGATTGCCTTATGATAAAGTAATGTTATTTAAATAATACTTTCTATTGGGAGCTTTTTTTAGTGGGCATTGGGGATAAGGAAGATGTGGGAAAAGGTAAACAAGGAAATAGTGGAGTTCACTTTGTGGAAGTGATAATATAATAGTAAATAAAGAATTGTTAAACTATTTCATAGTGACAAAAAATTGAGGGGGTTGGAAATATTTTTTAATCCTCAATATAAAGCTAATGATTTAATAAAAAGTTAAAATGTATAATAATTGCTCTTAACAGCATTATTTCAAACATTTTGACAGCTATTCAGGATTATGAAACTGCACAGGAACACAATGAAAATGATCAACAGATTCGAGAAGGACTAGAGAAAGCTCAGAGACTCTTGAAACAGTCCCAGAAAAGAGATTATTACAAAATCTTGGGAGTAAAAAGGTGAATTGTTCATATGTATTTAGAATTTACATTGGCTTTAAAACATATCTGATAAAAATAGCAGTAAGTTCCTTTTTTGGCCTCTTTCCCCCATTATTCTCTTTAATTATGTAATTTTAGCCACATAGAACACATAGATAAGGCCTTTAACATCCATAAAACTTTTTAGAATTATTTGCAGAAATATTAATTTAATAATTATAAAAAACCACATGCACAATAAGAATGGAGAATTAGTTGTTGGCAATGAAACAGGGAAATTAAACTCATGCTTAAAAAGTTTTAAATTTCAATTGTAAAACAAAAGAGAGTTAAAAAACCCACCACTCTCACCCTTCATAATTAAATTGATGACTATTGCATTTGATTTCTGGTAACTAGCTAGAAATTATTAATTCATTTTGTAATCCTATGCAGAATTCCTCTTGAACATACATTTGTATTCTTATCTTTAGCTTATCAACTTAAAGATTGAAACTTTGACTCTCATGCTACTGATATATAGCTAATCCATGAGTATAAAATTCTTGCCTGGGCCCGTTCCACTTCTGTAAAATGTGAGAATTGGGCTAGAAGGCCTCTGAGGTCCTTTCCAGTTTTACTTTTATTAAAATGTAGAGAACTCTAGAAGTTTAAATGAGAAGATATAGGAGATTTTCAAAGCCCAAGAGTATTAGTCAGAAAATCCAGAAGGTTTTAAAATCGGGATGTGTCATTTTAAAAAGCATAAAAGCAACTCATAATTATATAGTACTTTCTAGAGGCAGCATGGCATAGTGGATAGAGTGTTGGGGTTGGAGTCGAAGACCTGGATTTCAAATCCTGCCTCTTACCCTTATGTGACTCTCAGCAAGTCACTTTCAGGTAACCACCATAGTACTTAATGCCAGTAAGTCAGAGATGAAGTGCCATCTTTGTTGGTGGAACAACTTATCACACTGGGGCTTGTCTGTACTATGGTTTGCAGTTACCATATGGTTACCATAGAAAAGTAACTATCATGAGGAATTATTCCTTCTGTTTTTAACCAGTTAATGTTTTAATCTTATTGAAGTAACTCTCTGAGGTACCCTTCTCTATCATAAGTTAGCACTGTATCACATCACTGTGTGCTTCAGAATAAAAACTTGCCTCCTTAAAACAATTGGAAATCCATGTGGCTTTCTTTTATTTTGGTGTTTGATGACTGTATTCCAGTTCATTGTGGTAGAATGTTGTAAGTATCTTCTATTAATATATAATTGCTACATTTTAACCCCCCAGAAATGCTAAAAAACAAGAAATCATCAAAGCATACAGAAAGCTAGCACTGCAGTGGCACCCAGATAATTTTCAGAATGAAGAAGAAAAGAAAAAAGCAGAAAAAAAATTTATCGACATAGCAGCTGCTAAAGAAGTACTTTCAGATCCAGGTATTTAATTCAATGAACATTTATTAAATGCTTACTTTGTGCAAAGCACTGTGATAAGTACTGGGAATATAAAAATAGCTTTGACATAGATTCTGCTGTCCAGGAGTTTGAAGTTTAAAAGAGAAAGACACATACAGGGACACAACTGTGATACAAGGGAGGGCACAGGAGGAGTTCAGGCAAAGTATGTTGAGAAGTTTTTGAGGGAGAAGATGTCCCTTTCAGCAAGTTTGGGAGTGTAGAAGGCAAAGTCTGGTTAGGCAAATCTGGCTGAGATAGATAGATAGATAGATAGATAGATAGATAGATAGAGGCAGTCATGTTAGACATAGAGCTAATGGGTGAAGATAGGAGAGGACAGGCCAAAAAAAGGGAGATAGAAGTCCTTTTGGGCTCAAATGTAGAATATATGAAGGGGAAAAATATTAAGGCAGGAGAGGTTGGAGCCAGATTATGGAGACCCTTGAATGCTAAAATGAGGAGTTTATACTTAATTGGTAGGCTGTGGGAAGCCAAGGAAGGTTTTTGAATACTGAAGCGACATGACCAGAGTGGAACAAGATAACTTGAGCAGTGGTCTGAAATATAGACTAGGGAGGGGAGAGGCTAGAAGTAGGAATACCAGTTTGAAGGATATTATGATTGTTTAGACAAGAAGACATGTGGTGGTTTCAGTGGGCTTGGAAAAGATGGGGTATATGGGAGAAGATTGTATGGTGGTGAGACAGGAAAGAGTTGTATGTGACTTTACCTGGGTAACTAGGAGAATGGTAGAACCATCAAGAGAAACCAACACTAGGCTTTAGAAATAAATCTAAAAAGGATCCAGGCAGAGTGGTGGGACAAATAAAATATACATAGTTCAGTAACCAGAACTTCCCATCTATATAGGGTCTCTCTCCTTACTGTGTCTGCTCTTCTTACCTTCAGCATGTCAACTTTAAGGCTTAAAGTTGGATTTCCTTGTGATTAATATATGAAATCTATTAAGAGATCCGGAAGGAAATTTCAAATGACAGAAAAGTGGTGAGATTTCTAATGCCCAAGATTCTTAATCATTTAGAAAATCCAAAAAGTAAATAAGCAACATATCATTTTAAAAAATAACCTAAGAATTAGAGCTTTCTAAAGGCAACATGTGGTAGCTAGAGGTCTGAACTTGAACTTGAATATAAAACCTGAGTTCAAATCCTACCTCTGACACTTACTGTCTGTGTGACTCCAGACAGATCCCTGAGACTCTGCCCAGCACATGCCCACCAAGCTTTAGACTTTGTGAGGAGGTGCTCTGCTCTTTATGAACACAATCGCATTTGAACTTCACACCGCCCTGTGAGGCATGTGCTTTTACTGATGAAGAAACTGAAATGCAGACAGGTTAAGTGATCTGTAGATGGTTACACAGCTGATCTGGCCTTGAGTCCATGCATGCTATGTCTTTTTTTTTCTTTTCTTTTTTTACACTTAATAGTATTTTATTTTGTTCTAAATACTTATAAAGATAATTTTTGACCATCATTTTTATAAGATTTTGAGTTCCAAATTTTTCCTCCCTCCCTCCCCTCCCCAAGACAAAAGCAGTCTGATATAGGTTATACATGTACAGTCATGTTAAACATATTTCCTCGTTAGTCATGTTGTGAAAGAAGAATCAGAACAAAAGGGAAAAACCATGAGAAAGAAAAAACAAAGAAAACTGAAAATAGTATGCTTCTATCTACATTCAGACTCCATAGTTCTTTCTCTGGATGTGGATAGCATTTTCCATCATGAGTCTTTTGAAATTGTCTTAGATCATTGTATTGCTGAGAAGAGCTAAGTCTATCATAGTTGATCATCGCACAGTGTTGCTGTTACTGTGTACGGTGTTCTGCTGGTTCTGCTCACTTCAGCATCAGTTCATGTAAGTCCAGGTTTTTCTGAAATCTGCCTGCTCATCATTTCTTATAGCATAGTAGTATTGCATTACATTCATATACCACAACTTGTTCAGTCATTCCCCAATTGATGGGCATCTCCTCAATTTCTAGTTCTTTGCCACCACAAAAAGAGCTGCTAGAAATATTTTTGTACATGGTGGGTCCTTTTCCTTTTTTTATAATTTCTTTGGGATACAGACCTAGAAGTATTGCTGGATCAAAGTTACACAGTTTGATTGCCCTTTGGGCATACTTCCAAATTGTTCTCCAGAATGGTTGGATCAGTTCACAACTCCACCAGCAATGCATTAGTGTTCCAATTTTCCCACATCTTCTCCAACATTTATCATTTTCCTTTTCTGTCATCTTAGCCATTCTGATAGGTGTGAGGTGTTACCTCAGAGTTGCTTTAATTTGCATTTCTCTAATCAATAGTGATTTAGATTGTTTTTCATATGACTATAGATAGCTTTAATTTCTTCATCTGAAAACTGCCTGTTATATCCTTTGACTATTTATCAGTTGGGGAATGGCATGAGTTCTTATAAATTTGACGCAATTCTCTCTATATTTGAGAAATGAGTAGGCATGCTGTTTCTACAAGCACTGTGCTGCTGTGCCTGGTGCACCTGGTATTGATCCGCGCTAGCCCTCAGACAGATCCATCAGCCTTTCAGGCATCTTTGTGTGAAGCTTAGGGAAGGAGGGAGTACATACCAGCAGACAAGCTATGGGGAGAGTCATGTATAAAGAAAACACAACAAAAGGCCAGTTTGGCAAGATCACCTGCCAAGTTTGGCTAGTGAGATAGTTTGGAGCCAGGTTGTGTAGGTCTTTAAAAGCTAAAAAGAAGAGTCGATGTTTTATCATAGAGGCAACCAGAAGCCTCTGGAGTTGGTTGAGTAGAGGGGGTGACATGGTCAGATGTGTGCTTAAGGAAAATGAGCTTGGCAGTAGTATAGGATAGATAGAAGTGGTGAGAAACTTAAAGCAGGGACACTTAATTAGGAGTCTGTTGCAATGATTTAGTAAAGAGGTGGTGAGAGCTTGAAGTAAGATAGTAGCTATGTGGGTGGGGAGAAAAGAGGTCATAAGTAACAGATGTTATGGGGGTAGAAATGGCAAGATTTGACAACTGATATGGATTGTTGTAGGAGACTGAGTTGAGGATAATTCCAAGGTTATTAACTTGGGAGACTGGAAAGAAGTGGTATCTTCAACAGAGAAAGGGAAGTTTGGAAGAGGGGGCAATTTAGGGGGAAAGGATAGTCTGCTTTTGGATGTGTAGAGTTGAAAATGTCTCTGAGACATCCAGTTTGAAATAGCTGTTAGGCAATCTGTGATTAAAGCTTGGAAGAAACACCAGGGCTGGGTAGATAGATCTGCATGGAGATGATATTTAAATCTACGAGAGTTGATGAGGTTGCTGAGGAATTGGGAGACAAGAGGGCCCAGAAATGCATTCCTTAATACTGAGGGACTTAAGTATAATATACAAATGTACCATCAAGTGTTTTCTGTTTAGAAATTATGAAATACTAGGTATGAATGTAAGAATATGTAAATAAGCAAATTAAAATGCACCTTGAATGATTTTATGTGTGATAATTCAAATACAAGCATAAAATAAAACATTGCTTGTGTTTGTGTTCTCCAGACATTGCTCCAGCATAAAGAGTGTGGGGTGCTGTTACTTTTCTGGGAAATTATAGGTATCAGTTCTTACTTATGCCTCTTAAGTGCTATAATTTTTCTTGCTGGACAGTCTACTTTTAATTTGTGACTACATTGTAAATGTATGCATTAGTGCAGAATCACTCAGATAATAGGATGGATTAGAAAAACTGTTGCATTTGAAATTCTGCCTTTGGTAGTTTTGTTTTTGCTTCCCTGTAGGATCATTTCTGTTAGTTTTTTTATCTCAGAGAACTAATTAAAATGTCAAAGGAAAGTAGGTTATTAGTATTTTTAAGATAGAATAAATATAAAGGATACTTTAATGAATACTAAAGTACTATTTTTAATCTTTCCTTTTGTGAGCCGAAATGAAAGCTGTGATGTACATTTCTCATGCAAAGCTATTATTCGTAATGTGTGAAATACACAATGTAAATGCCAGGCACAATTGCTTATACCATTTAAAAGTGGTTTTCCTCACCTTTAATCAGATAGAATTTAACACCTGTGCCTCAATCTGTTGTTTTTTTTTTTCTTTTTTAGAAATGAGGAAAAAGTTTGATGAAGGAGAAGATCCCTTAGATGCAGAAAGCCAACAGGGAGGTGGTGGCAACAGTTTCCATAGAAGCTGGAATTCATGGCAAGGCTTTAACCCCTTCAGCTCAGGAGGACCATTTCGATTTAAATTCCACTTTAATTAAAACCAACAATGTTTTTCTGCTACTATTCCTTCTCCTCTTAACTTTTTTAAAATTAGAAAACAAATCTTATTCCAGTTCCAGGACCCTAATGAAATATTTCAAATTTTTCTGTTGTCCATAACCAAAGAATTGTTTTAATAGGAAGAATCTTTTCCTGTCCATTTTAAACTCTCTTGTTGGCTGGGGGTGCGATGATGAGTGATGGTACATGGTTCAGTGCCCGTGTGAAGCAACCAAGTCTGGGGCAGACTCTCTTGTATAAGCACTAATGTATTTTTTATACTTTTCTGCATTGGAGCAAATGCAAATCCTTCCTCCTGTCCAATCCTTGTGTGGTGTGTCAGTACCTACATATGGTGCATCTGTAAGCATACATAAGCCAAAAAAGAAGCTGTTCTCAGAAGACTGGGCATGTTTCAGTATTCTAAAAGTAAAAGATTAATGATGAGACCAAATTCTAAACTGTATTGTTTTGAGGTAACTTGGTTTTCTGAAGCGTAGACTGCTAGACTGGGATTTTGAACAAACAGAACAGTTATTGATTTCTAATACTTTCAAATGTTTATTTGTTAATATTTGAACTTCCTTAATACTGTATTCAATTTAATGATATTTCTTCTGTATGGTTACAAGTAAAGAAGTGAGAATTCCTCATTTAGAAAACTTGCTACCAAATGACAGCTGGGTTTGGACTCTTGATTGGGGTTAGAAAGCACATTTTATTCTTTTTTTTTTTTTTTTTGGTAGCTGAATGAGATTTCTTCAGAACTGCATAAGTGGAATTGGATGTCCTGATGACCTGGGAGAATTTTTATTTATGACTAAAAAGAGACACTTTGTTTCTCTAAAAAGTTATTTTCAAATGTTGAAAAATTTTTAAACACTATTGCTTCTATACAAGTAGAGAGAAATATTGTTTAGTAATGAGTTCTTAACCTCTCTTACAAAATTTTCATGACCAAGATTTGGTTTTGAAACTTAAAGTTGCTTTTCCAGGATATATAGGCCTTTGAATGCAGTATTTCAGCATTCTTTATTGTAGTGGCTCTGTGAGAGTGATTTTCCCCTCCCTTGGAGCCAGACCCGAACACGTGGACCACCAGTGGTTCCGAGGATCCTGTTTTGCTTAATTCTGGATTTATAGGACTATTAGTTTCCTGGAACATTTCAAAATCAGATAGTCACCTTTACTAAAGGTACTAGTCTGATTTCAAGCTCCTGGGATTTTATAGTCTTCCACAATCTTTTTTTTCCCCCTAGAAGAAGGTGCCTCAACTTGGCTGAACTCAACCCAAGTTTCCACCATCATTTCTCTATAACAATGATATTTATCTCCTGATAGGTCATTTGTTCCTTTAACTTTGTAGAAAATTTAGTCAATTACCATGATGTCTAATTGTCTCTCCATAAATGTAAAGCATTGAAAAGTTTTCATTGATTTGCAGTTATTTGTTTTATAATGTCTTGAAGCTCAATCTACTACAATATGCAAATGTACAATGCAAGCTGTATCGTTTAACTCTTTGAAAAAATCTTAAGCATTTGTACAACTGGAACTAATTCTGTTATCTAAAGAAATTATTTTCGAATCTGGTCTTTTATCACAAATTTTCCTTGGCATCACACCAAGAAGACTACAACACAGCTGGTAGCCCTGCAGTAGTAGGGATCTTCAAAACCGCAGATCAAAATATATTAAGTGCCAGAGCCTAACATTTAAAGAATACCTGCCAGATCTGAGAGTGTTTGTGATGGTCGTGGATAGTGTTGCATTGGGAATTCGTGTTCTTCAGGGTATTGGTTATTGATGTAGCATCTGACTTCAGACTGCATGCCTGAGTTTTCACCTCTCAGAACAACCATGATTCCAAATCCTGAAGTCAGTCATTCGCCCATGGGAGGTGGGCAGTTATGTTCAGAAGCACCATAATTATAGATTAGAAAAACTCGACAGCTTTAGCGCATCCACGAAGAGATAAGCTATAGATTGCACTGTGCCAATTCCATTAAAGAGGAAGTGAGATGTCTACACTGGGATTGCATTCTGCTACTTAAGGAAGAAAGCAGGAAGACTGAAGCTCTTAACCCTTTCTCAGTGAATGCAGGGAAGTTCTTCCTGTTTGGAAAGACTATAATGTTTGCAACAGTGGTACAGGAACATCCGCATATTAAGGGATCATACAACAGTTTGTCTGCCTTAAGATAGGAAGCCACACTGTACAATGGGAAGAACTCGAATGGTGAAAGTTTATTTTAACTCATTTCGTTAGTGACTGCTGCTCTTGTGCACTTTCTGCTGACATTCTGCTTTTGGTCACAGGCACAAAGCATTTGTAGCTCTTTCAGTAAAAAATATGCAGCAAGTCACATGTAAGGTTACATTATCCTTAACTCTATTGTGTTCTCTTCTGAAATTACTCTTTTCATTAATGAGCTCCCTAAATAAAATGTCACTGGTCTATTCCATTGCAGAAAGCTGGTTTAATGGGAGTTACACATGGCAAAAAAAGTATTAATCTGCACAGGATGCAAAAGCAATCTTAAGAAGGATGGTTTAAAACTCATTGAGAAGTCTGAAAGTATGTACAGAAGTTTGTGCTTTTTACCATGAATAAATGAAAATGTAAGCAATTTAAGCAGCCTCTGCTGAAGTGACTTTTATAATAAAAAATCTAGCCAACTATCAATTTGACTTTTAAAAAAAGACAGTTTTCTATTTCAGATCAGTATTATTCTAGCCTTTTGAGTGTCAGTATGAAAACATTTGGGAAAATTTTGGTCTTTGACAATGGGATCTAAAACTGCCCACATCACTTGAAAGAAAATAATATTTCCCCACCCCTAAAAAAGAGGATAATTAAAAGATACACTTTTACAATCACAATCCATAGAAAACAGTGTCATTTTATTCATGGTGAGAAGTGACAGTTTTCACCTGAGAGAATCAGTTGACCAAGTTTTTGCCTTATTGTGATAGTACACCATTTAGTTTGCCTTGCAAAAAGATTTGACCAGTATGTCAAAAGAATAGTTGTAAAATCAGTCTGTACAGCCTTACTGATTGACTGTAGTTTCCTTTTCAATATCCAGAGAGGAAGGAGGAAGGCAGTTGTAATTCTTCAATGACTAATACAGTTTTACTGTAAATCAGATCATTCCTGTTAATCACTACTTGTTAGTGGCAAGAAATTTACTACATTTTAAACAGGATGATAGTAGGTAGGGTAACTCAGTCTTGTTGCAGATATCTCTTGCTTGCTGTCTGATTTAAGATAAATTAGCCACTGCGTGGCTCTGTGGAGTAACAAAATTGTATTGCCTTTGTTTATCTACATTTGCAACACCTCTGCCTGCAGTGAGAAAGATTGGCAGAGGTTAAGAACTGGTGATCTTTCTTAATGTAAGTTAGGTACTACTCCTGCCCTAAAGTTATAATAGTTCAGCGATTTGAGTGAGATGACTAACTTAATGCATCTTAAAATTTTTGAATGTTTTATATAAAAAAAGGAAAGGAACCTGAAACGCAGTGAACTGGGTCTCAGATATGTCTACAAATGTGGGTACTATTTTTATGCCAGTGTATTTTCACATTTAATAAAGATATTTATGGTGATATGTGCATTTTTTTCCTTTTATGATTTCTATAAAAAACAGTTGTCATGGTCATGAGAACCCAAGAGATGATGCTATGATTTTTTTTTCTCCTATATTTGAGTTCACTCCAGATTGGTATGTTGAGAAGAGGAAGCTTGCCATAAGTAAGTTGTAAAGCAAATCATCCTTCCTTCCCCCTGCCCAAGCTAAAAAGAAGTTGGAAAATACTGTTTAAATAACCTCTCAAAAAGCATTCAGTCTGCTTGAATAGCCCCTAATCAAGAGGCTGTCATACAAGGAGGTTACGATTTGGTTCTTCAATGTAGACATTTTAAGATCTAATGCATTTACATGGTGTTGTTTAAAAGAAATAATCTTTAAACTAGCATATTTCTATTAAAATCTAAAAGGTAAAATTTTATACTACAAAGAATAGTTGACTCAAAGAATTAACAAAGTTGAAACTTGAAGTCTAAGTCATAAAGGTGCTACATATTAATGTCAACATTGATTTTATATTGAATGCAAGTTATCATGACATCTGAGGAGGCTTCATAGTAAATTGTCAGTTCACATTTTGTGGATAACTAAACTGAAGAGATTGTAGTATATTCAAAAGAGTATTAGATTTTGGAGTAAAGAGACTTGACCCTTAATTCTGTTATCATGAGCAGGTGAGTTGCTTTTTCTGACCTCTGGTTTTCTCAGTGAAATAAGGATATCTATACTACCAACCTCATAGGCTTATTGTGAGGAAAGTACTATAAAAATTTTGAGTATTCAGTAAGGATGTTAGTAATCACATAAAGGTGAGAGCAGCTCAGAAAAAAATGAAGGAAAATCATGAAAGGGAAAATGATGCAGATGTTTCAGTAGGACTCTTTTAGCTGGAGTTGAAATGGGGAGAGATGGTAAATAGCCCAGTACTACCCTATACAGACTTAGCCAATGCAAAGTTGATCAGCAATGTTTTCATTTCATAAGTCTTGCATGAGGTACTTTTACTAAAGAAAACTCTTTTGTTTTGCCTTAATCAAAATTAGCCAAAACTATTTGAAAGTTATAGGTTAAACAGAAATATGATTCAAATGTTTGTTTGCTTCTTCTTTACTAGAATTCTCTGTGCTCCCCACCCTGTTCCATACACAGGTGCTTAAGAGAGTTTGTTGAATTTATTATGTAAGAATTCCTACTGTTTTGAGTGTTAATCACATCAATTCCCAATATGAAATAATTTAATGAACAAGGAAATGAAGCGGAAGGGGCTTCTGTCACTGCTGGAGAAATGACCCCAGTCATATATCTTATGGGGAAGAAGGAACCTTGCCTGGCTTGAGTAACAGCCCCCTTCTCTCTGATTAAAGGATGTAGAACTGAAAGGGAATTGAGAGATGGTCTAATCCATTCCTCCATTTTGGGTCTTGGGAAACCAAGACCCAAAGAGTCACTTGTAACTTTCCCAAGGTCAAGGGTAAGCATGTAGTAAACTGCTTAGCTGCAATTTGAACCAACCCAAGCCATTGGACTCCAATGCTGGGGCTCTTTTCACAATACCACATAAGCAAAAATTGATTGTTGTTCTGTCCTTCATTCACAAAAATGACCAATGATACCATAAAGGTTATGTCTTGACATGTGTGAATTAGGTCTATGTGAGGCAGAGATGTGAATTGAAAAAGTGGCAGGAAGAACAACGCCCCTTCTCCTGCCCTGTGCGTGCCTATAATATTTGTGGATTTCTCTAATCATTAGAGAACCTTGGAAACGGTCCTTTTAAATGAACATTGTATGTTTTCCCTACTGGGTGAGATTCCTGTTGAGTATGAAAGGCTCTTTTGGAATCATCCATTGATAAGTACTTCCCAAACTCTTCATTTCTGATTTGGACATTGCACAATATGCCTCTTCCTGGGATGTCATTAGTGTACTCACTTTATATGTACACAGTTGCATTGTATTTGTATTCTTTGTGTTTTTGTTAACAATTCACCAAAAAAGCCCATTAAGCAATAAAAATAATTTCCAGTTTTTGTAATCCCATAATGGTGGTTTTATGTGCAAAAGAAGTGTTTTTTGTTTTTTAAATATTAAAAGGATGTTCTTTTTGTTGCATTCCTCTCTCTGAGTTGACACGTTCTGGTAGGGCTTCTAGGCAGGTCCTATGACTAGGGAAATGCTATTTCAAACTTACCAAATGGAAAGCTGAGGAATGTCAAGTCATATAAAAGGGTTATTATAATGTGAATATTTTATATCGTGGTATATAAAACTTTTAGAAAATGGTGTAAATATAATTGACCTACAGACCACTTTGAAATAATGTATTCTTAGGTTTTCTACAATTATGAAAAAGTCCTCGTAGAAAACGTTGGCCTTGTTCAAACAATCTTTACTAACAGATTTTTTCCATATATCTGGAGTTTGTGAAAACATAAATTGCTTATTAAATACCAGTTTATATGGGTCATCCCCAATTACCAATTTAATGTGAAGAGGAAGAAATAATATTTTTCTGAAACCTTCTAGATATTTTAGTAGCTGTGTTTTATTAAAAAAAACTTTTATAAAACAACAGATCTATACAGTGCTTGGCACATAGTAGGTACTTAACAAATGCTTTTCCTTTCCCTTTTTCCCTAAAAGGGTTGCTACTACAATTTTTTTTTGCTTGCCTTATAAGTTACTTCTAAGTAGAGTATATTTTGGATTGATTCCAAAATTGAACCAGTTTCTTAAAATACTTGGTTCAGTTTGTTTAAATATTTAAGACATTCAACTTTTTCTTCTCTTCAGAGTCAGCTATTGACAGTTCACTCCACGTGTCATGTTAGACTGGTGTTAAATAGAACCAGAGCCACTAAACTGTACCTTAAAGATCCCTGTGGGTTACATATTGACTTAGAAAACTACATATTGACATTATGTTCTATTGTAGTTTTATTTTGTTAAATATTTCTTAATTACGTTTTAATCAAGGTAGGGCCCCAATAGGGAGTATTTGAGTCCTGGTATAAGACCTTTATAGTTAAAATGGTTTATTTAGTCATATGTTGACTATGTCTTCTTTTGATCACATACAGTTCTCTGATGTTGTGATCGTTTACTATTAATCTGGTGGAAACTAGTTCTTTAATGTCCAAATCATGTGCCTTTCAGAACCAGATGTTTCATCCAAATTGAGTCTTGATTTTCTGTAACTCTTAATGTTCTCTTGCTTTAGGATTGTGGGCTTTAGGATTTCTCAGGGAGAGGTAAGGTAAAGATACTAGCAAAATAAGGTTAAGAATAAAATATTTTAATAAATTGGCTAAAGAAAGCATGAGTTGTATTATAGCAGAAATACAGGAGGAACTGTCTTAAAGCTTGACAATTACTACAGCAGTTAGCAGGGCCTGTCATTCCTAGCAGCCCCTACCATCCCCTTCAGTCTGGATGTAGGGTTGCCTGTCTTAAAATGTCTCCTTTTGACTTTGAGTCATGGTGTTTCCTGGAGGTCATTTAGACTCAAAGGCCCTATCCTTCCTTTTCCTTTCCTTAGTAAGATTTTCAATAAATCTGTTGGTTCTTCTAGGCTTATGCTGAGGACTTCCCAGTAAAAAGTAGTAGCGTTTTACTACTGAACAAATATGAATTCACATTTAGTCTTTTTCTTTCAAGCTTTAGCAGAGATTTAGCTATAATGTATCATGGGAGGTGGCCTGGAGTATTTGGAAGGATCACTGGACTCTGGTGTAAAAATAACTGGTCTTGGCCCAGGATCCATAACTTAGTAGTAGGCTTTTCTGGACCTCAGTTTCTTCCTCTCTAAAGTGAAGAACATATTGTTGAGTTTGTTGTATGTAGCAAATAAAAAGTTAACCAGTTTTGATAGGCAGTATTTCTGATCTAATCACAAATCAAATACCTTATATAATCTGTGAATCTTCTAGCCCCAAATTGTCCAATAATCTCACTTTAAATGATAATGTATTTAAAAAAAAATTTTTTTTTCTTAGTCATCCAAGATCTGCTTTCTTACTGTTTTACCCCAGCCCTTAAAAAAGAAAAATCCTATTACATAGTCAATCAAAACAAATTTCCCTATAGTCAAGTTTAAAAAAACTACCCAATATTTGTCACATTCTGCATTCTGAGTCCTTCCCTTCACTTCTGTTTGAAGGTAGGTAGTATATTTCCTAATTAGTCCTCTGTTATCTTAGTTGAATTGTTTATCCATTTCCTAATTTATGGGCACTCAGGTTCCCCCATTCTTTGCCATCTTAAAAAGAGCTATAGATATTTTTGTACATTCTTAAGAGTTTGTTTTGCTTAGAATATCTTTCTTAATCCACCTTCTAATTTCCCCTCTCCCCTTCCCTTTCCTGGTTTCCCTATTGAGTGAAATGTATTTTTGTACCCAACTATGTGCATATGTGTATTCTTTCTTTTGACCAGTTCAGATGAGACTGAGGTTCAAGTGTTAGCCGTTTCCATATAGATGTCTGTTTGTACACCATGTTTATGTAAGATAATTTTACCTCCGTTCCCTCCACCATTCCTCTTTCCCCTAAGATGTAGACATAACAGACACCCTAGACCTTGTCTAATTGGACTCCTTCTGAGGTCCTCATGATGGTGTGGTTGAGTGGGGACACATTTATCATTTCCCCATATTTGAATGTAGGTAGTTTAACCTTATTTAATCTTTTACTATTGTTCATTTCTGTTTACCTTTATATGTTTTTCTGCTGCTCTGGTTTTTTCATTAGGAATGCTTGGAAGTCCTCTATTTTAGTAAAAAATCAAATTTTTCTTGTAGCATTATACTCAGATTTGCTGGGTAAGTTATTGAAATAGGGATGTCTCAGGTAGTTTAATGAATCTTAAATTTTTTTCTCAATATGTTTTCCAGGTCAATTGTTTTTTGCTATGAGATACCTCGCATTTTCTCCTATTTTTTTTTTCTCAGCCTTTTGACTTACTATTTCTTGTTGCTTTGTGGAATCTTTGGCTTCTTTTTAATCCATTCTAATTTTTAGGGAGTTTGTTGCTTGGACAAGATTTTGAACCTTTTGTGCCAGGCTGTTAATTCGCTTTTCAGTTCTTTCTACCATAGCTCTCATTTCTTTTCCATTTTTTTCTTAAAGTACTCTCATTTCATTTATAAAAACATTTTTAAACTCTTGCTTCATCTCATATGAAATTTTAGCTGTTTATACTGATATTTTTTCCCCCTGAGGCATTGCTTGTAGATGTTTTGGACTCATTCTCTTTAGCATTTGTATCTTGAGCATCCCTGCTACCATAATAACTCATTTTGAGGGTGGTGGGGTGTTTTGTTCATTCTTCCAACTTCCTGACTTTGGACTTGATTAGTGCTGAGCTCTGTTACACTTCTGGAGAAAGGTCTGGGCTGGTTCTGTTGCTACTTTCTTGAGGTACTGAGATGCTATTTCAGTATCTTAGGAACAGACTGGAGAAAGCTTTCAATGCTTCCTAAGTGGTCTTATCCAGGATGAAGTCTGTTTACTGAAAACATCTCCCTCTGCCCACTCACTCCCCTCGGAACTCCACAAGTTCCTGACCTGGTTTTGAGTCTGTGCAAGAGTAGACTGTTGTTGGACTCCACCCATATCAGCCAGCTGGAAAGCTCTGTGGGTTCAAAGTGGCAGAATTGATGGCTCCTCTTTGGTCGAGGATTCCTGCCTTGGTTATCCTTTTACTAAAGACCCTGCTCTGAGTTTGGGGTTTGAGTCAAGCTGCTCTTGTTGACTTTTGACCTTACTCAGTACATTGCCCAGGGCCTCCCTACCAGGAACGCTACCCCTTTGCACAGCTCCCCTTCTCACTCCACCTGAATCTGTGAGCTCTCTCTGCCTATTAGGTGACAAAGCTGCTAGTTCACACGTCATAGTGTTTTAGTTTGGACCTCTTGCCATAGTGCACGTCCTCTTCCTGGCCACTGGAGTGCCATCAGGCCTATGGTGTGTTCCTGCCCTGACCCTGTCCCCAATATCAGAAGACCTCCCTGTTTGCTTATGTCTAGCTTGGCTGGATAAATGACTCACTTTTTCTGGATTTCCCCATCAGGTTTTTGGTCTGGTGCATTTTCTACATCTGTTTAGAGGAGTTTGTGGATGGGAGTATACCACATTGCTCCTTATCTCTCTGCCATTTTGGGTCCACCTCCAGACAATGTATTCTCAGAAGACAAAGGCTTTGGGACTATAATGTACATCAGAGAGCTTACGTTTTTCTTTATGGTCTTGGTGACTATCAGAACTCAGATTCAGTAGCTGAGGACTCAGGATGCAGGGGAAGGACTTTAAATTATATTAACTCTGACTTTAGATTTACAGCACTGAAACTCTTTTAGGCAATGTATGTTCCAGATGAACTGGCTGATGTGTTCACTCAAGTCAATATTCTACTTCCTTTCTCCATTTTCAATCTGTAGCTTCAAGTTTCAGCACCAATGCCACTTGCATGGAGTTGTTTCTGATCTCCCTTAGATGAGTGTTATCTTCATCCTCAAATTACATTTATACACTCCTGGGGCCTTCTTGTTTTGGCCTTTGTATCCCTAGCACCTGGCTTGGTGCCATGCACATAGTAGATAAAGTTTTTTTGTTGTTTAATCTATAATTTCTCTGATTAGATAGAGCTCTGAGGCTTTGGTCCTCTGATCATTAAATTTTCCTCCAGGGCAGTGGAATTATCACAACATTTATAAGTGTATGGAATGCTGAGACAGCTTGTGGTTGAGACAAATAAGTTGTCATTGTTCCTGTTCTTAAGGAGCTTAGAGGTTATCAGTAAAAGAAGTGGATTCTCTTTGTGTCCTTAATGTGCTAACTAGACCCTGTAATCAGTGTTATATAAATCTTTAGTATCACAAAATTAGAACCCTCAAATGGTTACCCTGCCCCAAGCCCCTATTTTAAATAGGTCCTGGACCTGGGAACTACTGGTCAGGATTTGAAGCCTCAGGAACCCAGACTCCATTTTCTCCAGAGTGCTGAGCCTAAGTTTAATTAAACCAGATAACTTGTTATCTAAGTGGCCCGGTTTTCTAATTTCCAGATGAGACCTGAGGAGTTTGGTGAATTTAGAGAACAAAATTAATTTTATTCCTAAATAGTTGCTTAAGCCTTTAAGGGAAAAAAAAACTGAGGTCTGGACAAGAAGCAAACTAGCTTCATTAAGATTTTGAACACTACATATAGGTAAATCAACAGGATTTGAAATGCAAGTAATCCTATTTTAATAGGAGTATGAAAAAAAAATCTTATCTTCCATTCTCCTTGAAGGCTTGAACATGTGCATACCAAGAGACTACTTTTAAAAAAGCCAATAGAAACAAGTTCTGCACAAGAATTTTTAAAAAAATTAACAAGCATTTATTTTCTTTTCTTCCTACAGCTTTCTCTCTCCCCTCTCCATCAGGGAAAAAAAAAACCAAACCACAAAACCAACCTTTTTTAACAAATATGCATAGTCAAGCAAAACAAATTCCCATATTGGCCATGGATACAAACATGTCCCATTCTGCATATTGAGTCCATCACTTTTGTGTCTGGAGTTGGATAGCATACTTCATCTGTCTTCTGCAATCCTAAGAGGTAGAAGACATTTCTTATCTAAAAGGCTTTCACTACTAGGAGGGATAGCATCTTATTAACATAAGGAGACAGGAAAAATAGGGACAGAGGGCCAACGTGCAAGGGGGTATGTAGGGTTCATGAACTGACCTAAAATTAGGTTACAGGGCTTTGGGTGCACATTGGAACAAAAAGTCTTAAGACTTCTGAGAGCATGGGAATGCTATCTACTAGTATTTCTTCCATCTCTGAAGAAAGTCTAGCAATGAATTCAACAAGACTCTTTCTGCTAACAAAACTATGGTAAGAGAGCAGATTATTTTCACCTACACGTAATCTAGGAGTTTACAACATTGCAGTTTTCATATTAGTGCCTTCTGTTTTTATCTTATGCTCATTTCTGAATATGGCCCTCTATTACCCAACAAGCCTTTCAAAATATAACCATCTTATGAACTGAACAGGGAGAAACATGCTCTTACCTGGTTCTCATGTACTTAGGACTATTGTTTGTTTTGGGTTTGATTCTAGTCCTCTCAAAGACATAGCCATTCACATATGGGAGGGTAGATTTTGGCTTTAAGCACACTGCAACGTTCAACACTAATATGAAAATATTCTGGATTAGAAACCATTTGTCTTTCAGACTGCAAATCAATTGGACCTGTACTAATCTAGCAAATTGCCTAGTTTGAAAAACAAGGTATTTTATGAATTAATATTTTACAAAAGCTGCTCAGATTCCATGTTAAAAACATATGCTAGCTTCACAGGAATGTTATGTATTGAAATGTCTTATATGTACTCTACAAAATTGCTTACACAGCAATTTATTTAAAGGAAGTCTGATATTTAGAATTTTTTTTAAAGAGAAATGACATTCTGTCAAGTGACAGAGCTGAGATTCTAACCAGGTTTCCTGTCTTCCTGTTGCTAACAGCGAATCTACTGGGAATTAACAGAGAAGAGAGAGAATAATTGACTAGGAAGTTCCAGTAGTATAGAATCATTTAGTGTAGAGGCAAGCAATCTCCTCTGACTTGATTCAATAGTTCTTAAAGCATCACTGGATTACAGCACATTAAGTAGTCTCCATAATGATGACTGACATCAATTAAAGGTTGAATTATCTGTAATCTAGTCAAAGAAGATTCTTGCCTACACATGTAGGGAAAATATTTTTAATTTATTTCCCACACAAATTGCTAACAAAGTTTAGTCTGTGTTGATAGGCTAGCACCTTATAAAATTCTGTTTCATATATGTAAGTTCAACAAATAAGCTGAATTTATGAGGAAAATTCATTCAAATCACCTCCCTCCCTGAGGATGCCGTGGGAGCTAGTTATTGCTCCTTCAGAAACAGATTTGTTGCCAAACTAATTCTGACGGATACATTTTAACATGCAAATTGCAACATGGTAGGATAGTTTGAAGTATAAAATGCTGGCATGTTGTGTCTATTTTATTTTTTGAATAATATCTTATTTTCCATTCATCCATTTTAAAGTGAAAAACAAGGAAACAAACCATTTATTTTTAAGTTCTTAATTTAGGTAATTTTTATTTTAAATTATCTGCTTAGCAACAATAACCATACGGGTTTAACCTTTTTTTTTCCATGAACAATCAGGTTCATTTTTCATGCCCATGAGTTCCATTTTATAAATACACATCAGAAAGGGAAATGTTACTTAAAAATAACATCATATAATTCCATGTACTCAAAATAACTGATTACAGATCACATGACTGAACATGCCAAAATAGCTGATTACAAAGCAACATTACTTGCATTGTAAAATAATAGTTAAAGATATAAAATAGGATTCATTTTCTTAAATGACAAGTTTTGGCTGGTTGACCAGAGTTACCCATAAATTCTATTTGTCTGAGTAGCAGGTGAAAGGAGAAAAATACAAAAATATTTGTTTCTCCAATTTCAGTTACATTTTGTTCATAAACAAATCTGGGTAACAGTTCAAATATGCACAATCTTTTGTGTGAATGCTATCAGAAACAGCCAATTTGGAGTACCGATTTCTATTTCCAATCAGACACACATTTACCAAACAATCCAGCAAAACATCTCCCTTTAACTGTTGAAACTTGGCATGAAACCAAGAAAAAAGGATAAGCCAGCTTTAAAAATTCAATAGGACAAAAAAAATAGTTTACCTCTTTTGAAAAGAAATTTTTTACTTAATATGTTAAGCATGTGAGCTTTAAATAATCGGGTTTTTTTTTTAAACTGAAGAATGTTTAACTGAGCTCCAATAAAAGATTCAAAGCACAGCCTCTGCACAGGCCATTCTTTGTTTCATATGATGGCAGATTCAATTTTCAATATTGTGACTCCCTTCACAGATGCAGAGTGCTGCTAGAGTTCATCTCGAGTGAAAACTGAAAAAGAGAAAGGAGAATTTTTTTTGGTATTTGTGACCTAGAATGTCTTATCAGCTGAAATAATCCCTGCCTCTGATAGGAGGTACTAAGAAAGCAAAGAGGTTGAAAACATAGTGAGATTTGCTTTATTATTAATACAGTTTGATCAACTGGATTTCTGTCATGGAAGCCATGACTTGAGTACTTTTAATTTCATTTTACAGACAAACTCAGTTTACAAACTCAGAAAGAAGTGACTTGCTTAAGGTCACATAAGGAGCAGATGTCACAGGAAAGGAAGTGGAGGTATCAAGTCTAGGTGACTTTCTCAAGGGGGTTAGCCATGGAAGAGTGGATGAAGTAAAAGATTTTTTAAGGATGGGACATGTTTGCAGGCAGCAGAGGGAATAACTGAAGATTAGGGAAGGAGTGAGAATGATAGGGCATTCTTCTGGAGAAGATAGGATGAGATGGAATTAAGGGTGCATATAGAGGAATTTGCCGCCACCTAATCATGAGAGACAGGTAGAAAAAGAGGCAGTGTGTGAAGACATCTAAGTAATGTGATGTGGAGGAGGAAAGAAAAAGGAGCTGCCTTTAAATGGCCTCAGTTTTTTTAGTGAAGTAGTTGCTGAAGTCCTTGGCTGAGAGGATGAGGGGAGATGTATCCTTTAGAATGGATGAAAAGGTTTGGAATAGCCATTGTGGTGAGTGGGAGAGTGAACTGATTGGATAAGTATAAAAAGGCTGCCTCTTTTGCAGTGATGACTCAGTTGAGATTATGTAACATAAATTTGTAGCGGATCCATCAGCATGATTTTGCTATTTTCTTTAGCTCTGTTCAGCAGCTTGAAAATAGGAGTAAAGTTTCTGGTGGGAGTAATTTTAAGTTGGCAGGGCATAATTGACAGTAAGACAAGGGAAGCAAAGGGTATAGCATAATGTAGAGTTGGACTGGTTCATCAAGTGGTCAAGAAGGAAGAGGAGAGTGTAACCAGTGCATGGTTAATGGCTGAAGAAAGAACAAAGGAGGTAGAGAGACTGGTGGTTCTGGTGGGGATGAAGAACAGAATTAGGGAGTCATGAGACAAGAGAGTGATAAAAGGCTAATATCAGACTTTGAGGTTACAGGAGCAACAAAATGGTGGACTAAATAGTTTCTCAGATTTCTGACCTCTCAGACGTCTCCAAAACAAATTATGTGCCAAAGATAAGGCAAATCCAGTTGTTTCCATGGTCTAGGACACTCAGAATCCAAAATAAGGTTAAAAAATAAAACCAAACCCAAATCCAGGAAATGATGCTCAGCACCTCTCCTCCACCAACAGGGAGCTGCACTGGCAGACTTAAGGACACAGTACAAATTTACATAAAAACACACCCCTGAACTCCATTGTCCCCTCCCTCTTTCCAGCGCTGTCAAAACTCTGGATGCAGGCTGTGAAAGTCTGGCCTCAGCAGTCAGCTTGGGCATAGCCCTTTAGGAGCAAAAAGCCTGTCAGGTCCTGCAAACTGGAAATACCAGCATTGCAAAGCCATGCACTGAATGTGAAGAGCTGTGCAGCACTCCAGCAAGCCTGAGGGAAGGAGCACAGCACAGTTGGGGGCAGAGATCTAGGCTGATGAACCATTACCCTAAGTGGCAGGAGGTTGAGATGCTATGAGATCTATTCCCCAAAGAAACCACAATCAGAGAAAAGGGAGTCAGGAAGAGTGAGTGATAAGGAAAAATAAAGGGAGGAAATGAAAGTATCAAAGATTTCAAAAAGAAAGACCTGAACATAAACAAATAAATCAATAGGAAGAACAGTAACAGAAATATGGCCTCCAGATCTAAGCAATGAATTCAAGAATCTATGAATAAATACTGCAAAGGAAAATGATTCAACACTTGATGATACAGAGGATTTGCAAGAATTTGAGAACATGGAACCAAAACATGCCATATAGAATGGTTTAACAGAGAAATGAGAATTATGAGAGCAGAATGTGTGTGGTTCACAGCAAAATAATGAGCAGAACAGAAAACAACTTGAATCTGCATTGGCAAGCATCATCAAAGAAACAAAAGAAAGAACAATAGAATAGGGATACAAATACATAGAAGTAAAGGGAAGCCTGTATAATTAGCATAAAAAGAGAAAAATAAGAGAAGCAAAAAACCAAAAACATTAAAAGAAAATATGTTCGTGATGCAAGCAAAACAGAAAGATCTTGAAGACAGGGTATACAGAGAAAACCTAAGGATCATAAGTCTCCCAGAAGAATGTGACAGGACAAAAAACTTTAACACCATAATGAAGGAAATGATAGAAGAGAACTCAGAACTTCTGAACATAGAAAAAGAAATCCCAATTGAAAGAATTCACAGATTGCTTCCAGAAAAAAAAAATCCAAGGCTGCAAACTCCAAGAAATAAGTAGAGGGTTTGGAATATAATATTCCTGAAGGTAATAGAGCTAGGATTACAACCAAGAATAACATACCCAGGAAAAATAGAGTATAATCCTTCAAGGGAAAAATGGATATTTAATGAAATAGAGGACTTTTGAGCATTTCTAATGAAAAGACCAGAGCTGAATAGAAAATCTAACTTTCAAATATAGGACTCAAGAGAAACATAAAAAGATAAACATGAAAGAGAAATCATAAGGAACTCAATAAGGTTAAATTATTTACATTCCTATATGGGAAGATGACACATGTAATTCCTAAGAACTTTATCATTATTAAGGTAGTTTAGAAGGTCTCTATATAGAGAGATGGCATGGAAGTGAGACATTTATATTGGGATGATCTAAAAAAAATGGATAAGCAAGAAAGAGGGATGAGAGAAGGGGAAGGGGAAAGAAAATTATCTCACATAGAAGAGACACTTGAGGAAGAGTTTTTACAGTGGAGGAGAAAATGAAGGAGGGGTGGGCAACACTTGCACTTCACTCTCATCTACATTGGTTCAAAGAGGGAAGAATACATATACAGCTTCTACTCGGTACAGAAAAGCTATCTTACCCAGCAGGGAAGTAGGAGGGCAAGGGGATAAGAGAAAATTCCAGGGGATGATGAAAGGGAGAGTAGATTCAAGAAAGCAGTTGTCAGAAGCAAAACAAACTTTTGAGGAGGGACAGCATAAAAAAGATGGAAGGATAAGGAGAAGAAAATAGGATGGAGGGAAATGTAGTTTATAATCATAACGATGAACATGAATGGGATGAATTTACCCATAAAATGGAAGCAGATAGCAGAATGGATTAGAAACCAGAATCCAACAATATGTTGTTTACAAGAAACACTTGAACAGACTCACAGAAAGTTAAAATAAGGGGCTGAAGCAGAATTTATTATGCTGCAGATGAAGGAAGAAAAAGACAGGCAGCAATCATGATCTCAAACAAAGCAAAAATAGACATAATTTAAAAGGATAAACAGAGAAACTGTATCTTGCTAAAATAATATCAATATCAAACAAGTATGCATCAGATGGCATAGTATCCAAATTCTTAAAGGAAAAATTAAATGAATTACAGGAGGATATAGTAAAATGATACTTGTGGGAGACTTCAACTTTTCTCTCTCATAGCTAGATAAATTAAATCATAAAATAAATAAAAAAGAATTTTAGAAAAATTAGGTATGATAGACTTCTGGAGAAAACTGAATGGGAATGGAAAAAAGTATACTTTTTTCTCAGCTGTACATGCCACCTTCAGAGAAACTGACCATGTATTGGAGTATAAAAACCTCACAACCAAATGCAGAAAAGAAGAAATATTAAACATATCCTTTTCAGACCATCATGCAATAAAATTACATTTAAAAAAGGGCCATGGAAGCACAGATTAAAAGTTAATTGGAAACTAAATAATCTAATTCTAAAGAATCAATGGGTCAAAGAACAAATCATATGAAACAATAAATAATTTCATTAAAGAGAATGACAACAATAAGACAACATTCTAAAATTTGTGGGATGCAGGCAAAGCAATACTTAGGGAAAATTTATATATTGAAATGTGTACATCAATAAAGAAAGAGCAGATCAATGAATTGGACATGCAACTAAAGAAAAACTTTATAAAAAGAACAAATTAAAAACTTCCAATTAAACACCAAAATGGAAATCTTGAAAATCAAAGGAGAGATGAATAAAACTGAAAGTAAATAAACAAACAAACATTGAACTAATAAATAAAACTGGGAGATGGTTTTTATTTTAAAAATAGACAAATTACTGGTTAATTTGATTAAAAAAAGAAAACCAAATTACTAGTATTAAAAATTTAAAATGGTGAATGCACCACCAATCAAGATGAAATCAAAGTAATTATTAGGGGTTATTTTGCCTAATTATATACTAGAATAACTGAAAGCCTTAGGGAAATGGATGAATATTTACAAAAATAGAAATTGCCCAGGTTAACACAAGAGGAAATAGAATACTTAAATAACCTTACCTTAGAAAAATAAATTGAACAAGCCATCAATGAGGTCCCCAAGAAAAATCTCAAGTACCAGATGGATTTACAAGTGAATTCTACCAAATGTTTAAAGAATAATTAATTCTAATACAGGTATTTTTACAAAAACAGGTAAAAAAGAATCCTACCAACTTCCTTTTATGACACAAATATGATTTTGATACCTAAACCAGGGAGAGCAAAAACGGAGAAAGAAAACTATATGCCAATTTCCCTAATGAATATTGATGCAAAAATTTTAAATAAAGTACTAGCAAGGATATTACAGCAGTATGTCACAAAGATCAGACACTATGACTGGTTCAATTTTAGGAAAACTACAAGCATAATTATCCATGTCAATAACAAAATAATAAAAATCATGACTATCTCAATAGTTTCAGAAAAAGCTTTTGAAAAAATACCACACCCATTCCTATTAAAAATACCAGAAAGCATAGGAATAAATGGAGCTCCTTTTTGATTTTTTAAAAAAATATTTAACATTCTCCATTTTTAAAAAATTTGACTTTCAAAAAATATTTGAATTTCAAATTCTCTTCCTATCTCCAGTCCCTCCCCTCCCCTAATGAGAAGGCAAGCAATATGATAAATTATACATTTTTCAGAAGAAGAAATCAAAGCTATCAATAGTCAAAGAAAAAAATGCTCTAAATCACTATTGATTGGAGAAATGCAAATTAAAACAACTCTGAAGTACCACTTCGTACCTATCAGATTAGCTATCATGACAGAAAAAGGAAAATGATAAATGCTGGAGAGCATGTGGAAAAAGAAGTACACTAATGCCCTGTTGGTAGAGTTGTGAACTGGTCCAACCATTCAAGAGAACGATTTGGAACTATGTCCAAAGGGCTATACAACTGTGCATATCCATTGATTCAACAACAGAAGTACTACATCTGTATCCTAAAGACTTCAAAGAAAAGGAGAAAGGATCTATATGAACAAAAATATTTATGGCAACTCTTTTTGTGATGGCAAAGAACTGGAAATTGAGGGGGTGCTCATCAATTGGGGAACGGCTGAACAAGTTGTAGGATATGATTGTGGTGAAATACTTCTGCACTATAAGAAATGATGAGCAGGTTGGTTTCAGAGAAACCTAGGAAGATTTGTATGAACTGATGCAAAGTAAAGTGAGCAGAACCAGGATAACATTGTACATAGGGACAACAATTTTTTAAGGTTGATCAACTATGAAAGATTTAACTACTGTGATCAAGACAATTCCAAGGGAACCATGATGAAAAGTATATACCTCTAGAGCGAGAAGAAATGAACTCTTGAGTGCAGACTGACACAGTCTTTTCACTTTATGTTCCTAGCTTTTATAATTTTTTTGCAATATGGCTAATATGGAAAAATGTTTTGCATGACTTCATGCATATAATTGATATCATATTGTTTGCTCTCAAGGAGCTGGGAAGGACTGAAAAAGAGAGGGAATTTGGAACTCAAAATTTTAAAAAATGAATGTTGAAAATATGTAATTTAAAAATTAAAAAAAGGAGAGAAATGGAGGTATCTATTGTAGATTGCCTTTTTGAGGAGTTTAGGTACAAAGAGCAAAAGAGATATAGGACAATAGTTAGCAGGAATGGAAGGATCAAATGAGGATTTTTTTTAGGATAGGGGAGATGGGCATCCTTTTAGGTAGCAGGAAATGAGCCAGTGCCAAAGGAGACTGAAAATATGTGAAAGCGGGAGGAGGCTAGAGGGAGTAATCTGTTGGAGGAGATGGGATGGGATGGAATGTAATTACTTGAATAAATACAGGGGTTAGTCTTGGTAAGTAGTAAAGCAAACTCATCAGTTGAAAGAGCAGAAAGCGGCACAAGGCAGCTAAGTAACAGAAGAATGAGGAAGAGGAGAGGAGAGCTCACAGGGAATAGCTTCATTTTTTTTTTTGGTAAAATATGAAGCAATGTTTTCAGCTGAGATAGTGGCAGGGGAGGTGTCATGGGAGGTTTGGGGACAAATAGGTTTGGAAGAGCCTCTGTGGAGAGTGGGATAGTGAGTTGATAAGGGAGGTATATATTAGGATTGCCTAGCAAAGACCCAGTTGCAGTGATGTAACGTGAATTTGTAGTGGACCCAGTCAGAATGGTTGCAAGATTTTCTCCACCTTCACTCATCAGCACAGGAGTAGGCATGAAGGTAACCAATGGTCAGTCATTCAGCCAATCATTGCCCTCTTGGAAGCAGAAAAATGGAAATATCTGTAATGTGCCAGAGATGAGATGCTTTTTTTTTTTAATGGAAAGGGAAATTTTGTGAACCATGGTGGTGGGTGATGGCACTCTTTTGGAGACCTCTTGCCAAGTTAATATGGAAATATTAATGACTACCCTTTAAGTCTGTTTCTTCAACTGTTTTCAAATCCATCTAACTGTGTTACTGTCTAGTCTACTTTCCATATTTCCAAAAGAATACTATGAAATTCTTTATCTATTTTTTTGCTAAAATCTAGGTAAACTATATCCATAGCATTTCATCACTACTTCCTCATCTAGATGTTTGCCAGCCATCTGTTGAATGATCCATTCTAGATTTCTGCCAGGGAGCTAAGTCAAACTCACTGGCCTTCAGGTTACTGGTTTACTGATCCATTTTTTTTTTCACTTTTTTGAAAGTTAGGACTTCTGCACTTCTCTATGGTTCTTCCTCCTATTTTTTATGATGTTTCAAATATCACTGCAATTCTTTTAGTGCTTCAGGATGTAGTTCACCTGGGCTAGGTAACACAGCAAGGACAACTAGGTGCATTCTTACTATCTCCTTTTCCTATCTACTATCTAGGGTATTAACTCTATGTTAACCATTTTTCTTTTGTCATTTCTGGTGCAAAAATATTTCTTGTGGCACAAAAAAACAGAAGTCGAGTAAAACTATCTCTGCCTTCTTCTCTCTCTCTCTCTCTCTCTCTCCTCTCTCTCTCTCTGTTGTTATTTATGTATGATGTGGTCATTTACACAGGGTAGCAGGCACAAAACTACACTGGCCAATTTTTACCAACAAATTCAGTCAGTTTATTGGAAATGGAAATTAACAGGGAAGCCTAAAGTAATGAAGAGCACACTTTAGAGAACAATGTCCAAAATATATGTAGTTAACTGTGAAGATTTAGGTTAGTTTGCTTATTGATACTTTCCTTGCGGGATAATGTGGGATTTATGCTTATTTCAAAATAAAATAAAAACCTTTGCTTCCTTACTATAAGATTTCACTGAATGCTTATTATGAAAATGAAAAATCAGAAGACTCTATACAAAGGAGTAGAAAGTCAATTCCTTTCATGACCTGCTTAAATTAAAGGAACTCAGTCTACTAATCCAGGACCTTCCTATTATGCAAGAGATTCTCTTGAAGCAGGAATTATGACCTATTAGATTAATTCACCCACAAAGAAATAAGTCTATAATCCAATCTTTAGCTTTTAATAATAAAACATGTAATTCACTTACCCTCTTTGGAGGATGGTTTACTTGAATTTCTCTTTCCCATTGCTATCTCTTCTAACAGATTTCGAATCTCAGTGTCATACTCTACCCATTCTGGGATAATCCGGACAGCAGCTTTCAATTTAGGTTCTTTGGTTTTGGGATTGTTGCACTAAAAGTTTAAACAAAATCTCAAAAAAAATCAATCTCCAGGAGATACATCTGCAAAACTCAATAGCACTGCTGTAACAAAAGAGCAACCAAGATAGTTTACCTGAAAGCAGAACCCGACCAAATTCAGACATACTGAATATGAATCACATGAAGCATGACCAGATCAGGTTGGGAGGAGGTATGATACAGGAGGAGTTAGTTGACCTGGGTTCCAGCTCGGCCATTCACTAGCTATCTGAATTTCTTGGTAGGTCTTAACCTGTCTGAATCTCAGTTTCATTTGTAAAATGAGTGGAGTATATGAATGGTCCTAATCTCTTATAACAGTATTTGCTTTTAGTTAAAAACATGTGATCAAATTTCCTTTTAAATGATTTTTAAGCATTATTAGCTCAATTGGAAATTTAAAAAAATATTTAAAGCAATGTAGATGGTTCTGATACTTGGGAAATTGTCATATGCAAACTGTTTTGACAAAAGTTCCAAACATATCACCATTTTGTAAAAGAACATAGCTGACTATATTGATAAATATTCATATGTCTTTTCCTTGCAACATCTGGTTGCACACTGTTTTCTAGAGACAGAACTGTCAGTAATCCTTAGTAACATTGAATGTCTTCAATGTCTACAATACAGCCATTTATTCCTTCTCAAACTGTTCTAATTAGGTAATGCAATAATGCTATGTTAGTGAGAACTCATTGGATAAAGTACCTATACACACACACACACACACACACACACACACACACACGCACAAACACACAGATATACATTCATACATATATACATATACATATACATAGACATAGACATATACATACACATAGACATATACATACACATATACATATACATATACATATACATATACATATACATATACAAATACAAATACATATATGTAAGTAGGCAACTAGGTAGCTCAGTGGGTAGAGTGCCAGGCCTGGAGTCAGAAAGACTCATTTTCTTGAGTTCAAATCTGGCTTCAGACACTACTAGCTGTGTGACCCTAGGCAGGTCCCTTAACCCTGTTTGCCTCAGTTTCCTTATCTCTAAGATGACCTGGAGAAGAATATCAAAAAAATCAATCTCCAGGAGATATGTCTACAAAAGAAGGAAATGGCAAATCACTCCAGCATCTTTGCCAAGAAAACCCCAAAAGGGGTCATGAAGAGTCAGACATGACTGAAAACTGACTGAACAACAATAGCAACTACATACATACATATATTTATTTATTTTTACCTAAGACTTTTGAATACTCTAAAAGTCCCTTAAGCAATAGCACTTTTTGTGGTAGAAAAAGAAATGTGGGAACAAAGTGGGTGCCTCTTCATTGAGAAATGGCTAAAAATTTGTGCTATATAAAGAGTCATGGAGTACTGGAGCATTACGATGCTGGGAAAAAAAAGATGAGTGTGAAAAATTTAAAAGACCATGGCAAAGCTTACATGAACTGATGCAGAGTGAAGTAAATGGAGCCAGGAAAACAGTAGACTTTAATTAACTAGATTGTAAATAGAAAAAACAATGAAATGAAACTGAATGTTGTTTAAGGACCAGGCTTGACTCTGGAGAAGAGTTGAGAAAATGTATCTTCCTTCCTTCTCTGCAGAGATAGGGGACAACAGGTATGGAATATTGCATATACTATCATAGTGAGTTCATGTGTTAATTGGTTTTACCTAACTTCTTCCCCCCTTTTAAAATCTCTGTTACAAGAGGAGGCTTTTAACAGTGGAAAATAGCATTTGTAAAATCTACACAAATTCCCAATATTTAACTATTTCCATTTATTCCCTTCAGCAGTGTAGAATACCCATCTATGCCTTCTCATTCTGGTTAATTCTTATCTACGTCCTCACATAAATTATACATACAAGATGAACCCAACTTATTAAAGGACTTCCCCTAGATCAACCTGTTCAAGTATGGGGCTATCTTTTAAATATTAAAAAAAAATTTCAGACCCCTAGAAAATAACAGTTATAGTAATACTATCCACTGAGTGAGAAAATATATAATGGCAAAAACTACTACAAATTCAGAACACTTTAAAATTAATTTATATTTTATTGGTCACAATAACACACATTTGAAAAATCCATTGCTGCACATTTTGTAAGAACTCAGGATCAAAGGGACAATGCTTCATGTGCATAGGAATTCCTGGACCTTTTGTAATAAATGAAGGTCCTGAGGCATAATGTTCCCCTAATGTTCTGTGGTCACCAATACAGTGCAGGGGCTCCACCAGAACTTATCTCTCATCTTTCAGTAGGACCAGGTTTCTTTCTGTTCTATGTTTTCTACATATAGTATGCCCTGAGAGATACATAGAAACTTACCAGATCAATTGTTTTGGCCCTTTTTTTGGATTCATCATCACACCATGTTTCACACCACAACCACTCTTGAGGAAGAGACTTGATGGCAACCTGGTGAATCATATTATTGGGTAGGTCCTATAAAAAAATCAGGTGTGAACTTAGATATACAATCCCTTTGATGCCCCAAAATAAATATAGTCATACAAAGCAGGAGAACCAAGTAGAAAAGATAGTATATTTTGTTGCTGTAGTTTAGTCATTTTGCAGTTGTGTCAGACTGTTCAGGGCCCCATTTGGGGATTTCTCGGTGAAGATACTAGAGTGGTTTGCCATTTCCTTCTTAAGTTAATTTTACAGATGAGGAACCAAGGCAAAGAGAGGTTAAGTGACTTGCCCAGAGGAACACAGCTAGTGTCTAAGGCCAGGTTTGAACACAGATCCTCCTGACTCTAGGACTAGCACTCTATTTGTGCCACCTAGCTCACTCATTGTGCCACCTAGCTGCCTCAGAGAGTATATAAATAGGAAAATAATAATTTTAGATAGTATATAAATAGTAAAATAATATATGAACTACAGTTTTATTTTTTAAATATTTGAATAATTTTCTTTCAAACAAATTTTGTTTAAAAGTTGTTCTTGTTTCTTTCTACACTGGGCAGCATGTTCGTTAATTAAATGTGAACTAAATAACTGTACCTAAGAAATTTAATTCTAAAATCACTCTAGAACAAAGTTATTGTATAAAAAAAAGACTAACAATATGAATACAACTTATCATTAAGTAATGTCTATAGTAAATTTATTATTTAGCAAGAAACATCTTTATTTGCCTATATTGACTCTTACTGTCAATCTAATGTCAAGTTTATTTAAATAATGGTTGCTGGGGGCTGTTCTAGCAAAGGAGTATTTAAGTTAGAATGAAGTAATGCAAAATCTTTTTAAAAATAATCTGCTAACATTACTATTGAGGTCATTTGAATACATATCTTTAGGTTCAGAAGAGAGTATGAACACAGGTATGAGTAATTTAGTAATTATTGATAACTATGCTTATAAATTGATACATAGTTGATTTACATATTGAAGTGTTTGGCATTTATAAAAGAAGGGAGCAAAGGAGAGGGAGAGAGAGAAAGAGAGAGAGAGAGAGAGAGAGAGAGAGAGAGAGAGAGAGAGAGAGAGAGAGAGAGAGAGATATGTTTTATTACTACTAACACTTTTCCTGGCAAAATGAAGGTTTAATGCTGTACAAAAGTGACTACTGATTCATACTTTTATAGTTTCCCAAAAGCAAGGAACAATGTGGATCCAGATGAGTCCTAGACAAATGAGCTTAGCAGCCTTTGACGGTTAAAAATCATAAGCAAGTTTACAGCTAGTATTGTTGAGTTGGTTACCTCTACTCTCGGACTTCTTCCCAAGGTCTTCCAGTGGGGCTGAAAAGAGGGAGATGGCCAGGGAGAAAGGTTCTGGGTTCTGGGAAAGACTGGGCTTCCTACACATCTCCTCCTAGCCATCCCAGAAGTACCTCCCCCCCCAACAACTGCTAGACGTGTGATCTATATCTATACACATACACGTGTATATGTATAGATACATATATGCAATATAAATATATAAACATATACACACATATAAAAATGTTGTTCAGTTGTGTCCAACTCTGCGTGACCCTATTTGGGGTTTTCTTGGCAAAGATACTGGAGCAGTTTGCCATTTCCTTCTCCAGCTCATTTTACAGCTGAGGAAAATGAGGCAAACAGGGTGAAACGACTTGCCCAGGGTCACACAGCTAGTTACTGTCTAAGGCCAGATTTTGAATGCAGGAAGATGAGTCTTCCTGACTCCAGGCCTGGCACTCTGCCCACATACCACCTAGCTGCCCTCATGTATATGTCTAAATATGTATATACATATATATCCATGTCAATATACTTTGGGAAAAAATTTAAATTCTTCCCTCCCTGTAGGATGATTTTTAGGCTCTTACTCCTATTCTCCAAGTGTGGCTGCTGGCAGAGCATGAGCCCATTACCAATGTAATGTGATGCAGGCATAGGATAAGCATCCATATTTCCAGCCTGATTATAATCTATTTTTATTATATTGACATTGCCCAGCCAAGTGCACTGAATAGTCCTCTGGCTATTTAAACTGTTCTTTATTTTTTTGAGGAGTACTTTGTAATTTAATCCATACAAGTCTTTTATTTGCTTTGGTACATTGATTTCCAGGTGGTTTATGCAAGTTATAGTTAAGTGATTTCCCTTTCTATTATTTTTTCTTATGTTTTGTTATTCTTATATAGAAATGCCATTGATTTTTTTTTGGGGGGTGAGGCAATCAGGGTTAAGTGACTTGCCCAGGATCACACAGCTAGTAAGTGTGAAATGTCTGAAGTCGGATTTGAACTCAGGTCCTCCTGACTCCAAGGCCAGAGCTCTATCCACTGCACCACCTAGCTGTCCTGAATGCCGTTGATTTCTGAGAATTTATTTTGTTGCCTGTGACTTTGTTGAAGTTATTGTTTCATTCAGCACCGTTGCTGATTCTCTAGGATTTTCCAAGTATACTACCATACTCTATGCCTTTTATTCCTTTCTCTTACTTGTTGCTGTTGTTAGTATTTCCAGAAGTATATCAAATATTTGGAGAGTAGGCGTTTTTGTTTCTCTTCTGCATTTACTGGAAACAATTGCTACTGTATCCTCATTGCATATGATACTTGCTTTTGGTTTTAAGATAGATGCTTCTTTTGTTCTTAAAAAAGTCTCTCTATGTCTATCATTAATTCTCTCTTTTTCTATTTTGTTAATATATGTTTACAAGGATGTGATTTTCCCCCTTAGGACTGCTTTAGTTACAACCCAGAAATTTTGATGCATTGTTTCATTATTATCATTTTCTTTTACATAGTTATGAATTATTTCCATGATGTGTTTTTTTATCCATTCACTATTTAGGATCTCATTGTTAAATTTCAACTTGGGTCCATATCTTTTGTTTGTGGTCTCTGAACCACTGACTATTTTATTGCTTTATGATCTATAAAGGATGCATTAATTATTTTTGCCTTTTTACATTTGTTTGCAATATCTCTGTGCCCCTGTACGTGTCAATTTTTGTAAAAGTTCCATGTGGTGCCAAAAAATATGTATATTCTTTTGCTATCTCATTTAGAAGATTCCAGAAGTCTTTTAACTTTAGTTTTGCTAGCAGTTTTTTCAGTCCTATATTTTTCCTTTTGTTTATCTGTTAGACTTACCCAAAACTGAGAGGGATATTGAAGTCTCTTGTCACTATTGTGTTACTATCAATGTCTTCTTGTCGCACAAATCTTTCCTTTATGAATTTGGAGAGAGCATATGGTTTATTACTGATAGTTTATTGTCTATGGTGCTTTCAACATAATGTAGTTTCTTTGTTCATTCCTTTTTGTTTTTGAATGTTTGTTTTTGCTTTGTCAGATAACATGATTGCAACTCCCACTTTTTCGGATTCACTTGATGCATGGTAGATTTTTTTCTTATCTTCTGAGTTTTATTTCACATATGCTTTTGTTTTTCAAATGTGTTTTTTGTAATCAACAGGTTGTAGGATTTTAAAAAAATCTTATCTGTTGCTCTTTTTGGTTTTATTGGATTATTGCATTCACATTGAAAGTTATGAGAATTAGGCTTATATTTTCTTCCATCTGTCTCTAATATTAGGCATTTTTATAAGTTATTATTTCTCTCTCTCTTCTGCTGTAAATATAGCACTGTTATCTTATCCTTTTTTAATTTTAAAAAATTTTTAATTTTTTAAAATATAAATTTATTTTAGTTTTCAACATTTACTTCCACAAGATTTTGAGCTCCAAATTTTCACCCCATCTTGCCCCTCCCCCCATCCCAAGATGGCATGCATTCTGAATACCCCTTCCCCTAGTCTGCCCTCTCTTCTATCTCTACCCTCCTTCTCTTATCCCCTTCCCCTTCTATTTTCCTGTAGGGCAGGATAGACTTCTGTACCCCATTTCCTGTATTTGTTATTTCCCAGTTGCATGTGAAAACATTTTTTTTAAACATGTGTTTTTAAAACTTTGGGTTTCAAATTTTCTCTCTTCCACCCTTCCCCCACCCACCCTCATTGAAAAGGCAAGCAACTCAATATAGGTTATACATGTGCAGTTATGCAAAACACTTCCATAGTAGACATGTGAAAAACTAACTCTATTTCCCTTAATCCTATCCTGCCCCCCATTTATTCTATTCTTTCTTTTGACCCTGTCCCTCCTCAGAAGTATTTGCTTCTAATTACCCCTTTCCCAATCTGCCCTCCTCTCTGTCATCCCCTGCTCTCTTGTCCCCTTCTCCTCCTATTTTCCTGTAGGGTAAGATGGATCTCCATATCCAATTGAATGTGTATGTTATTCCCTCCTTAAACCAAATCTGATGAGAATAAGATTCACTCATTCCCTCTCACCTTCCCCCGTTTTCCCCTCCACTGTAAGAGCCTTTTCTTTTTTTTTTTTGTGAGATAATTTACCCCATTCTACCTCTCCCTTTCTTCTTCTCCTAGTATAATCCTCTCTCATCCCTTAATTTTATTCTCCAGATATGACCCCTTAATCTTCAACTCACCCTGTGCCCTCTATCTATCTATCTATCTATCTATCTATCTATCTATCTATCTATCTATCTATCTCTACATACATATAATTTTTTCCCTCCAACTACCCTAATACTGACAAAGGTCTCATGAGTTATAAATATCATCTTTCCATGCAGGAATGTAAACAGTTCAACCTTAATAAGTCTCTTATGATTTCTCTTTCCTGTTTACCTCTTCATGTTCCACTTGAGTCTTGTATTTGAAAGTCAAATTTTCTATTCAGCTCTGGTCTTTTCATCAAGAATGCTTGAAAGTCCTCTATTTCACTGAATGACCATTTTTTCCCCTGAAGGATTATACTCAGTTTTGCTGGGTAGGTGATTCTTGGTTGTAATCCTATCTCCTTTGCCCTCTAGAATATTATATTCCCCCCGGTCCTTTAATGTAGAAGCTGCTAAATCTTGTGTTAGCCTGATTGTGTTTCCACAATACTTGAATTGTTTCTTTCTGGCAGCTTGTAATATTTTCTCCTT